CACACACAGAGAGAGAGAGAGAGAGACATAAACTGTAAAAGGCATCGCATCAGACTATCGCAGTTTTTATGAATAACTGTCTGTACCCTGCCACGATTCGATAATACAATATATTAAAAACCATCTTTGAAGCGTCTTGTATATCGTGTCAAAATTTGAGCTTAATTGGTGCAGAACTTTTTGAGTCTTTAAAGCATACACAAACCAACTTAACATTTTATAAATACTCGTACCTAGATAGACATGGAAAGATTTCCTCAAGAAAATGTATTTTATCTGTAAAGAGGTGTTCCGAAAATCTGAGATGTGAAAGAGAGGTGTTAAAAGTAACCAAAGCATGGCGATACATATCGCCATAGTTTGGTTTTCTTGTACTCGTATTAAGATCACAGGGTAAAATTTAGGAATAATATTTTATTTTTATTGTACTGATAAAGTAGTTGCAGTCTAGATATTAAGACCCAACTTGAAAACGTTGTTTCTGTTGACTATTTAAAGGAAATTTAACTAAATATCAGTACTTCGTCAAGATGCATAGGAACAATAGTCTTAATCTGTTTTACGGTAAAATATTGTTTAATGCCTGCTTGAGTCGACCAGTTGAGGTTTTGAGGAAAAATACAAGTAGGTATCGCAATACAATTACTTTACGCGGTGTTCTAATTGCTAATTCGTGCAATGTGGGTTTTTCATAAATCATTTATTGTCCTTATTCGAAAGCGAATACTTAATTGCTGTTAAAATAAATGAAAAATAAGGAATTAAATACGGTACCTAGAATTGTTAGAAGACATTTGTTCTCTTAAAAATATAGAAACCGACAGTATATATTATTATAGTGTCAATACATATTTGTAATCTATATATACATATAGCTTACACATTGTTTGCAAATTTCGAAATTAGAAGATGACTTTGCATGATCGTTTAAATTTTACGATTTATGATTGGATTCATAACTTATCTCGTTCATTCTCCCAGAAAAATATAAACACAAAAAAAGGAATATAGTGAGGAACAATGACTTAATCCTATCTTTAGAATAATTTGCTAAATAGTAAAATTATCCACATTATATAAGGAAATGTGTATTTTTCATTCATAATTATAGCAAACATACGTACAGTAACTATAGGCGTTACCTACCTAATCTGTGAACGTAAGCCTTCAAAGATTAAGAAGTAGACTAGTCAAATGTTTGTACACATGAAAATCCAAATGCTAAACCACCACGAATAAGCATTCGTCTTAAACACGATACTTTCCTATTTTGCATTAGTATTTTTCAAATATCTAAGACGAGGACTGTTCGCGGATCGCGTAGTAGTTTAACCCGTCACCTCGCCGCTGCGCTTTCGGGTTCGATACCCATCTGGGATAACAGTTTGTGTGATCCACAAATTGTTGTTCTGGGACTCGGTGTTTTTTGTGTCCATTTCAAGTATATTTGTGAAATCAACCGCGATACAGGATATACGAGTATTCCTAAAGATTTTCATAAATGAGGAGGAGTTGTCATTAGGAAAAAAAGGAACCCTTCCTCCATATTAGTGAAAACTCAACGTTTATGATGGAAGTGCATAATATTCATTTCTCAATGGCATCGATATTTTTCTAATTACATTGTTATTTTAATAAATAAGCTTTTATTTATTTTTTGGCATTAATGTATTTAAAAGAAAACCAAATACTGTAAATGCATACATGCGATCCTTGAAATAGCAATAAAATCAATTATATTTTACATAGTAATTGTAGTGTAGTGTAGTGTAGTAATAATTGAATTAAACTTAGTACGATACTTTATATTACAGCACAATAATTGTAAGAGTTTTTGTCATTCATTATTATTACAATTATTTAGTTGCCTACAATCACCTCAATATTAGGCTTAAAAAGTTAAGAACTTACTAAAACGTTATGGTCAACATAGCGCAAGGAAGTTTTGCTACTGCAAATAAATAATTAAAATGAATAACCTAAAATAATTTAAAATAGCAGACATTTGTTAAATTGTTTAATCCTTGGTAATTATTAATTGTCTGCGTTAGTCATTGGTTTAACCACAGAACTATGTACCTTCTGTGGTTTTATCTTTGACGGTTCGCCCTTCCATGCCTAGTGCGGTTGCGAGATATATAACTTGCAAGTAGCCAGGGCCAATGTTTGTAATCGTTCACACATTAGCTGAAGCACACCGTGCGCGCACTTTAAAGTAAAATAAAGGTAATTAATATAAATTCAAAATATTTATACCCTACCTAAACCTAACAACAAACATTTTAACATAGATTTCGATAGTTACTAATTTTAAACAGATTAATTTTGACTTTGGTTATGTAAGTAATTATATTTATGTTTTGTAACCATTTCGAGATGTATTTACTGCCCAAAATAATTTTAATATGTCATTCATTAATAGATAATAAACTACATAGGTTTTAATTTAAAATTTGAGTTCTAGTGAGCAGCTAGTTTAGATTAAATATTAATTATATCTATATGGTCATGTCTGGTCATGTCAAAAATATTATTACTCTACATCTATACTTATGTCAAACTGTTGAAAAATATTTACCAAAATTAAAAAAAATATTACATAAATAATCGTGACCCTGTCAAACTGAGTTGCACAGTTTGACAGGGTCACGATAATTTATAACTTTATTTTATTTTATTGTAATTTGACTTTTATCTCCATATAATATCAAATATATTTTAATATTATTAACCTAATTTACGAATCCTTACTTTGCATTTTAGTAATTATGTAGTTTGATTATGATTATAATAAAAACTTACCCAATGAATAATTACAAAAGCATTTTGACATACTCGTAGTTTTGAAAAAAAGTGAGCGTTTGTTTTGGTGCCGGTCTCATTATGTACATACATTGCTTAATTTCACTGCAACTACAACGCGAGGGCATCACAATCGATGGCCTTTTTTACTGTTTACTAACCTAGGCCTTCTCATAACAGCACGACGACGGATTGATTCTAATTGAACAAAATACTACGACTGTTGTTCACAAAGTCGGTGCCTAAGAATCAAGCTTCGATAATTTTTATGATATCATTATTTTAGAAAAAAGTAATTTGCCAGTTAACTCTAGAGATAGGTAAATAAAATAGTAAAAAAGTAATAATTTATTTTAGAAAATGTATCTCTTTTTGTTATTTGCATTAAAAATCACGAAATACTAATACGAAAATGTATAATATTAATTCGATTTTTAAGTGACTTCCCAAAAAGATAAAGTTCTTGATACGTTTATAGATTTATATATAAATGTATAATATCCTTAAGATGTTTATAACAGTGATACTGCTATAACCATAGTTCTATATTCCCTTGATATAGAGATATAGCTACATGTGCACCGGAATGTGGCTTATTATAGAAAAGCTGTTCAAAGGTGTCTGACTAGGAAAACGTCTATGATACAAGTATTATCTAATAATATAACTGTCTAGACTAATTTAGTGAAATGATTGTAAAATTGATTGTTACTTTAATGATAACTACACATTTAAAGCTATTTTATCCTTATTACTTATTTTGACAAATAATAAATACGTTCAAGATTATAATAAAATTCTTTTTTTCTCTTCTTTAAAAGTCTTTTTTAAAAGTCATTATTTTTATAAAAGTTGATTATTTGAATATTTACAATGTTGTCTATTTTCATTGTGATTATTGACAAAAAAAAGTGAGATTGTATTTGATGTGCAAGTAAAGTCATGAAATGTATACCTATATAAATTATATTATATACTTGTTTCTATAGGCTACTCCCGTAGGATAGAGACTTTATAGTAGCTCTGAAGTTATTACACTTATAGTATTTTAATAAATCACTTTTTTTAAAGATTTTTTTTGGTATTGGTTTAAAATAATTATTATGAATCTACGATTTCATATACACATATCTAATACAAAACGTAACTTCCTCAATAAATTCTTTATAAAATACTTACAAAAAGGATTACTCAAATCTGACGGATAGTTCAAACAAACATACCAAACATTGGTACATAATAATATATATATATATCTCTATATATATATATATATATATATACATCATCTAACTAAATTTCATTTTTTTCTTTTATGCATTTTTTAGTTAGAACATGTTTGTCATGCTTGCTATATGCAAGTGTTCGTCGACAACGTTTGGCAAGTTACGTAAAATATGTGGAGAACCTGTCCTCGAGAAACATAGCTTTGCAAGAGCTTGAGATCTGAAGAACAGAAACGACCGTGGCCCGCTTTCATTCACTTTGTGTTTATTCGATTGACTGGCAATATAGTGTTTACCATATATGTACTCGTACCTCGATGTTTAGCTATTTTTGTTTATAACTGTGAATTTGACATCACAAGCTGTGACTATAATTTCTTACTACAATTGACATTTTATAACCGTATTGTTCTTAAGAACAAAATTTAGCCGTTTAATACGCCTCTATCTACCCCTCCGGAATCAAATATGAGAGTTTGTGTTTTTCTTCGGGACATTCTCAGTAGCTTAAAGAACCCGTCCTCAAAGGTGGTCGGTAGCTAGATTCTCTATAATTTAGGTTTTCGTTTTTATAAAGACATCTCCCGCACTGGGAATATATCCTGTCTGGGACTTAACAAACATTCAACGGATACAAAGAACACGCAGATTCAGAACTACAATTTGTGTATTACACAAAGAGTGCTCTCATGTGATGATCGAACCTACAACACCTAGCGCAGTAGCAAGCGGCGAAGTGACCGCTTAAACCGCTACGCCATCCGTGCAGTCATGTAAACGCGCGCCATTATGTAAAGTATTCTCATTACGCATTACAAATCCACTAACAGAGGCAATACCTTTAACGTACACACCATCTATAGCCGGGACCAATAAAATTAGCTTATAGCTTCATTTTGTCACTTTTCAGGGATACATACAAGGTATTGTTTAGAACGTCACTTACATTTAGAATAAATTTCAGATAACAAGATGTGGTCTACATACGTCGTCATTGCTGTCTCCTTGGCTTGCGCCCATGGATATTCTTCAGGAGCCCCTGAAAGCGTGTGCCAAGATATGGTGCCAAAGCACCCTGTACCTCCACAAAGCACTCCTCCTCCGTATACCATCACAACCAGTACCAAGGTATTTAAAATATTTCTTCTTATGCTTAACCATTTGTAAAGGGTTGAAAAGTTAAGACAATTGGAACCTCGTATTTTAACATTTTCAGTTGATTATATAAACCTGTAGGGTGTTTGTTATCGAGCATAGTTGTTTTAATAGGTAAAATTTCTGCTGAAGGAATCAAGGTCAAGATCAAGGTCAAGGAATTAAATGTAAGATAAATGGGAAAATAGAATAAGTCATAATCAGAATATTGCAACGATGACTTCTCCGCAGACGGTGAAAGCTGGTACTCCAATGGAGGTTGTGATCACCGGCAAGAAGACAACAGACAAAATGCGTGGTCTGCTGCTTCAAGCTCGAGAAGGTACCAAGATTGTCGGCAAGTTCACTTTAGCACCTAACGACTCCTTCGCACAACTGCTCAACTGTGGCGAGCCTGGTGTAAGTATATCTTTGCTATTTCTATTAAAAAACTACGTTTTAATAAATCGTTATCTTGCGATTTATTAAAATGTAGCTTATTTTAATTAATGATATTATTTTAATTAATGGGTAGTAACAGTACGATTACGCCACTTATTTATTTTATAACTTAATACCAAAATAACGACAACCAAAACAAAACATTGGGTTGAAAATAAGCAAAGTTTTTTTAAAATATATAGAGTCATAAATTATATATAGTATACCAATTTTATTGTAGGTAGACACATTGATTTTGCTTTTAGTTGAACAGAATTTTGATGAGATGAGATGAAATTCAATGAGAAAGTTACCTAGGTAATTTTGATATAGTTTTTAGCATTTCGTCATAATGCAAAATGTTGCACCCAATAATATCGTTGTGGATTGTTAACTGTTAATAAATAACATACGTTATGTTGGATTATTTTCTGCTTTTATTTTTTTAAATTGGTTCTTTTAGTACATTTTTTTTGCAAACTGCCGTTATCACTGCATATCGTTTTATGTGTATCTAAGTGTTATCCTGATAACCTAGTACGTATTCTCTGTTAATAGGAATATAGGATAATTGTACAATCGCGAATCCTGACAAAAAATCGATGGCAAATTAATATCGCCGGTACAGAGATCATTTAAATTGAGCTTATAAGAGAAGTTTGTCTAAAAACCATTCACGTTCACTCTGTGGACTGAATGCAGTGTAATTATAAAATAGACCTTGATGGTCGATGTCTTACTGTAGTTTTGACCTTATATTTTTTGTGTCTGCGTTAGTTCTCGATATTATTATCACACAATATTATTTTACAAAATTTATTACATATCTTCTTTTACAGTTTTAAATAGAGTATGGGTTGACCGCGTTTAACAACAGTTGAAGTAAAATTTTAGCGTTTTATTAGTATTTCGAATGTCACTTCGGTTTATGAAATGATTGATTATTCATTTCATAAACCGAAGTGACATTTTAAGGCCTAAATAAGAGAATAAAGAGAATAATATATCTCATACACAGCCGTCTGATCCCAAACTAGGCAGAGCCTGTTCTATGGTAACCAAACTGCTCGTATACTTACATACTTTGAAATTTTTAAATACATACATATTATAGATAAATTATACCCTGACACAGAAGAAATTACCGTGCGAATCAAATGTTAATATCATTATCATAATATAATTTGTATAATATCGATCGGATATAATTAATTACATAGCTAACTACCTAGAAAATGGCGTGAAAGATACTAAATATCTTTAAAAATAACCTCCGACTGCTCCGATTTAAGAAACATGGGTAATGTCGTTACCGCATGTTGCGATAATCAGCAAATATTATATTTAACCAGTTTCTGCTCTTATAAGTTACGATACGGGCCGCAAAAACAAAATGTCACGCGGTCGTTGTGCAGCCTTCAACTTTTATCCGATTTGATGAAATATTGAGACATAAACACTATTAACAAAAATATTCCCTTCTGTCCCCCTACCTCCTCCCCCCCTTATCCATAGGCCTATCCTATTAACGTAATGTTGGTTTCCGACTCAAGCCTTATATAATAAACTGTGCAGTCTTAAGTGTACTATCGTCGAAAAACATTAGGGATAATGGAGATGCTAAACTTGAAACTGTCTTGCTAAATATTTGACAAAACAGACGATTGATGGTGTATGTTGATCTATGATCTTAGAGACGATTTCATATACTTAAAACAATTTTATGAAATATAGATATTTTGAAGACTTAGTTTTATAAGTAATTAACCCTTTTTGTAGTGATCTGCACATCTGCTTTCTGTTCGAGTTTTAAATGACGATTATTATATAGTTTAGAAACGGAATTGTTTAAAAAGTGCATTTATGCAGTTTTTAATACGATATATGTACATATATAGGTATGCGATTATACGATAATCCTATCTATTGTCATTAGAATTTGTACAATAACAGTGTCGCAACTGCTTTCTTGTCAAAATAACTTTGTTTATATTTTTTAAGTTAATACTTAAGTGCTGGTTTGTGTTGTCTTAATTTTCTAACTATGGATGGTCTTTGAACATGCAGATGACTAAAAGTCACTCTTCTCTTTAGTTGCAATACAATTTTCATAATTAAAATTAATGTAGACATTAAAGGTGCGATCTGTTGAAAGTGTTATTTGCTCTCGCTGACATAAAGATTCGATTCGAGTCTACCCAGAATTAGTGATATTTGCAGAACTGAAACTAAACTTTGTTATCTGATTTTTTATTACTTTATTTATTATTTAATACTAATATATGACTACATTTATAAACAGGAACTGACTACGTAAGGCAGACCTAGCAGTCTCGTCCACTGAAGGTTAAACCCCACTTTTATAAGTGACGCATATTTGTCAATCTCGTAGTATAAGAGTTTGTTTAAATTTCGTGACTGCAATTTCAATAGACTATTCATGCATTAGCTAAATGATCACAACATTCGCGACAATATCTCAAAGCTAAGTTGCATAATTCATGACTATCCGATACAAGTGGTCGCATGGTTTTGGTAGTAGTTAAGGTTGTTATGATTAGCGTTATATGAGTAGTTATGCACATATGGTGGTTTTTAAGTGTAAATATTTGTTAAATGAACTCGATATAGACGACCATAACAGGCATGACAATGCTTCTTGACAATTAACACTTAAAAAAATGTAGACACCTTTTCAGTTAAATCCATAAATTTATTTTATGACGGAGGACAATTAGGACATTATTCTGTGAACGGTGACACTAAAAATGTTTTATGTAAGCGCTGGGTGGTGTAAGATCGAACAATTTACGTCCTCAATTTGGTTGAGAATTCGCTAAGAAGAGAAAAGTCCTTCATCGGTCAGATCCAATTATAGTAAAAATCAATACCTAGTCACAAATTAACAAGTTTTACGCAACGTGTAATTGTTCTCCACATAGCGCAACAATAAATTATTTTCGAGTCGCGTAAATTTTTTATTAAGTTCCTGTGCTCGGTCATTCTTAATTTGCAAAAATTTTAAAGTTGGCCGGCAGACGGCAATAGAATTGTCCCTGTTAAGTTAGACTAAAAAGTCGTAAGGGAAATGTGGGTTTGCAATTCATCCTCCTTTCGCTATTAAGTGTTACTTTAGTTTGAACGTCCTGAAAACGCAACAGCATACTACCACGCGTTTATAGATTTGCTGTGCAATTAATTTAAGATCCAGTAAAGTTATTTTAACACTTCAATATGTATGATAGACCTATTTCTTAGCGTTCCATGGATTCACGGTGCGGGTACCGTGGCCATCGCGTCATAGATGGGGGCAACACATGCAACTTCGACAGCTCCTGAGATTTGCGACCCAGGAGTAGGTTTGGGGTCTCTTAGAAGTAGATCCAAAAAAAAAAAGACCAGTGAATTTATCACATAAAGTTTCCACTGATATAAGAGATTACACTGCAGACTATTATTGTTGGATGCATTCTAAAGTTGTATAAGTATCTACCGTTTATACGCAAAGCTATTTAAGGTTTACTGAACCTTAGCGTATAATTTGGACATAATTAAAGTTATTTAAGACTACTACCACGGTAATAAAATAAATACATTGTCACCATGTATCTAATAAATTGTTCATATCCGAGGACAGAGCTAATACCCGTTCACTTGGGTGTATCAATTATTGTGAGTACTAAACTATACAGAACGTGGCTTGTTAACTTCGAGTGTATGTGCAAAAAATGGCACTGGCTGTGTATAAAGTAAAAAGTATAGATATCAGTCACTTAGCATTCTTATTCAAACTAAACTTTTTTGTTATCAAGTCAATCCCACAAACGTAGTAGTCGCACAAACATCGTGGAGCTGCGGGATACGGTCAGTAGGTAGTACCTATATAATAAGCGTAGCTTAATGCAGTAAAACCATAATATAGAATCGAGATAATTACCATCTAGGCATAGAGCCATTCTGGCCATGATGAATAGATGTAGTAATTTGATTTAGGCCTTGACCACTTGCAGGGTGTACTAAGTCTTAGTAAATTACATGTACCTACAGTCAAAATGATATTTCACTTTCAAACAAAATTAGGTAGTGGCTAAAAATAAAATATCTATAATTATTTTTACCTATAGACACTTCGTGCGAAACTTTAGGCTACATAATCAAGGTAAAATGAACATTACAATAATCTGTTTAGTGTCAGGAAGTGAACGTTGAAGGTAAACTTGCAAGTTTGTCGAGTAGGGTCAAGTCGCAAACATTTCTAGGATGAATGATTGGTTTCTCTCTTTTTATTTCCTAAATAAAGCGGCAAGTTGTTGTATTGAATCACTACTACTACTACTAATTGTATAAAACTTTAAGAGTCCCGAGATTTTGGGACTTTAACTTAATAAAATAATGTTTGTAAAGAAGAAGGGCTTAAAGTTTGAACTATATCGGTTATCGAGGTAAAAGTAGCCTATGTAATAATAATATGATAATCGAATCGAATATAATAAGTGAAAGAATATTTAACATAAGTTTAGTGGTATAGGCGTGAAAGTGTTACAAACAAACTCACTTTAACATTTGTAACATAAGTATGGATATTTATAGATTTGCCAATTAACTATTATTTTAATTAGTTTCACTTTTTAACGGTAAGTGTTACAAAAAACAAGACAACGTAGTGGCGGAAATACTTATATAATCAACTTCTAGCTGACATGGATGTAAACTATAACCGTCTCTCTTCATTAAAAAAATTTAAACATAACTTTTTTGGCAACTACTTAATTTAAATTGTATTTTAATCAGATCAGTCGATTGTTCACTGTAGATCTAGGGTACACTGTTACAGCGCAAGGGGCACAATGTTTCAACATGAAAAAAATAACAATAAGAGAACGTGTCTAACAATTAAATTTCTTTATAATATTATAGTTATTTATAAATTTTGATTATTCATGTTTTATCATAAAATTATCATTTTTTTCATTTGCTGATTTTCGAAGACCTATCACATTTTTTTTTTCGTTTTTTTTTCTTGGATATTTAACACACAACGCCATCTAGTTACAAACTAAGCAGAGCTTTTACTATGAAAACTAGATTGACTGTAGTCTGATAGTAGATAATACTTATATGCATTTTTTTTCTAAAAAAATACCTACATATTATACGTAGAAAAGACCCAAAACAAATAACACATATTTGCAGTCTTGTACGATTTTCGCACTATTTTCTTTTAAAACTTAGGTACAATACAAAAAAAAATGTTGAATAGGGTTCATTGTTACCATGTAACACAGTGCCCGTAACACAGAGCCCTAGGTCAGATAAATTGAAAAAGAATATCAGTTGAGTCTTTTAGATTGTGTTTCCAAAAATCTACTAAACGATAACTTGACGCTAAATATACAGGGAACAGAGGGAAATCAGAATCACTTATAAATGTAATATATTTTAGAAAAGGCAAGAAATGAAAAAAAAATTTTTTTGTTGTCCTTTAACGCTGTACAAACTAAGACAATCGCAACTGTTTAAAAATGGAGGCCTATGAGCCTTCAAAACTGTATGCCAACAATACAAAAGTGGATGACAGACATGAAGATATTTGCATTGTAACAGTGTACCCTGTTTTGTACAACATTGTGCCCAATCTTACAGTCCTAAAATAAGTAGGTACTAACATACAAGATGGACGTGTATTGTTAGCCCCTATTTAAAAAGATTTGTTGAAATTACTTACATAAACTTATAAAACAATTGTGATACTACTTCCAGAACGCTGTAACTCACAAGAAACACGATGAGAAGAACGACAAGCAGACAGTGGCTTTCACATGGACTCCTCCCAAAGACTTCGTCGGTGATATTAAGTTCAGGTAAATTAACTTTAAAAATTAGCATAAATACAATATAATTTATGATTCCGGTAAGATTATTCTATCATTCAAGATTTTGCTAAGAAACTTCTGAAGCCCCAGTTATAAAATATGTACTATATGTATGGACAGTGCAGCCAATAGTTTTTTTTTTCTAAAACTAAACAGAGCTGAACCTTAGCAAGAAGGAGACTGTGTATTTGTGTAAAGTACTTATTAGTCTTCATAATTAATTATACTGGATGTTTATATTTTGTATTGGATCCTTAATACTTATATTGGCCAGAACATATTAAAATAAGTTATGAGTATTTTTTGAAGTAAAGCCTAAAATTAATATATTATGCAATTGACAAGATCTCATACCTATTTTATTAGTGGATTGTTTTACTCAGTAGATGACATCGCAACTAAGATGGCCCTTAAAACAAAATAAATTAAAATCTAGCTTATAAGGCAGCAGGCAAAACTATATTGTATTTTGTCAACTGTTACCTCCTAGAAAAATATAGATAACATAGTTTCTGTATTTATTTAGGAGACTGTATAATGTGTTTGTTAATACTAAACTTATACTTATTTCTATTTACAGAGCAACCATCGCACTCAACGGTGCAGTATTCTGGGTCGGTGTAGAATCTGCCCCAGTTAAAGTTGTCAGTTAATTTAGTTAATCTTAAATTTTATTCATAGATCATATCTTTTATATACTTGTTTTAAACTAAGTCTAGATTCTTTTTAAATAAATTTTTTGAAGCCGTAATGGGTGGTTTTTATATTTCAGATTTATAATTAAAAATCCTTCTTTAAAAAGTTGAACCGTCTTCAAACGATACTAATGTGTAGTAATAGGGCTCTTTACTAAAAACCTGATGTCAATCGCGGTTGATTTGCAGTCATCTTTTGAAGAGTTCCGTTGTCTGTCTCCGAAAGTCCGAAGAAAATAGTTTTTAAAATCCGTCTATATACGAGTATGACGGATTTATGCCTATGCATACATAAAAAAATAAATAAACATCGGAATTGATTACCTGCTCCTTTTTGAAGTCGGTTAGTAAATCTTAAATTCCCATGCAATTAGAGATATTAGAAATCAAAACTAAATCTATAATGGAAAAACTGGCACAAGTAAACGATTTTAAAAGTATTTTAGATCAGCATTTAAATCTCAAAACCTGGTGAAGTGAATAGAAAGATATGTAGTCACATATATCGATAATAACTGAGTCCAACTTTTATTTTATGTACTTTTATTAGCACTATTCCAACTGGACGGTACAGTTTCATATACTGGTATGTAGAAATTGATAAAAACACATTGTAATTTTTACAGAGTAAAATAACAATGACATGTATTAGTTTAAAAAAAGAAATAGGAAGCTATTGGTTTCATGTATATGTATAGGACAAAATAGAAGCACAACAATAATTTCAACATTAAGATAATGTCTCAATTTCAAAGCATTCTACAATTCGCTTGTTTTAAAAGTAGCACTCTTAACTTTCAATCAATCGTAATGTTACATCTCAATGGTAATGAAATTTAAATTTTACCAGCAATTTATAACGTAGGTAATCTATTAAGTACCTCTAAGGATTTGAGAGGTTGATTTAAAGTTTATTGTAACCTACAAGACTTTTAAAAGTTTTAAGTTTATTATTTTGTTTTAGCATAATTTATTATGTAGGTACTTATCAGTCTTGAACGTTTTAAGTGTCTAAGTTCTTGATATTTTTCTTTGTCAGCAAAATGAGACATAATCAGGGTGAGGGTTGGGAATACAGATTAATTAATTTACTATTTGTTATTATTATACTATTTGTCTGGTTAGTATTATTTACTATTTGTCTGGTGAAATATATGAGGTTTATACTTTTCCCTTTTTGTTCTACATTTAAATCCTATAAGCCACTTTTGACATTGTTTTCACATCAGATAGTCGCTCCGTTGTATACCCACATCTATTGGAGTACTGTGAACTCTGTTTGAACATAACCTTTTCTGATTGTTAGCTTTCTGAAGCAGGTCTTATCTACCTTTTTATAAGCGTCAAATCGAATCTAATTTATTTCTGCAGAAAACACTGTTACAATTGTCTTATGAAATATATGTTTTAAGTGATTCTACGTTAAGGCATGCAAAATATATACAAATATTGTTTATTCAAACCACGTTCAACATCGAAATATTTAAATAAAATTAGATTACAGAATATTTCAAATGAATGTAATGTCCTTCTTAAAGTTAAAATGAAAAAGATTAATTATTTATTTAATAATAATTAGATTATTTCAATGCCACTCATTGAATTAACACAATATATTAACAAATTAATTATATTTAAAAGACACACACACAACCGCTCCATTACTTGACGTCACTGTGAGGTCTCAAGATTGGAAAGATCATCGTTTAGGTAGTCATTCAACTTATAGTAACACTTATTAAATAAAAGGCTCTTTAAAATAGTATTCATTGCCCTTATTTCTTTAGGCAATTTATTATTAATTACCGGAGCCATTTGAAACACTTGTGCATTAAAGTGGTATAGGTTCGGCGCATACAGAGGCGAAATCACGCAAGAGGGTCACGTTGTCGCCTTTTATAGTCTTCTATGGCTAATGTAAATAACTTTTGATTGACCTTAACAAATATTGAGACCTCATAAATATACAGGCTTGGGAGAGTTAGGATTTTGTACTCCTTGAAGAACGGTTTACAGGTTTCGTTAATTTGAAACCCAAACATAGCCCTTATGCACCGTTTTTGTGCTTTATAAATTAATTCAATGTCTGTCTCGTCTTCAGAAGCTAATCCCTAAGCAATTTTTTAATGCACAGAAATCGCTATTCATTCATTATAACTTGCAGTATATCTAGTGCAGTACAACCTACCTTCTGCTAATTTTACTGTGAATGAATTAGCATGACGATAATGAACTCAGAATCGTATTCCGAATTACCTTTCATCAGTGGCGTAGCTAGGCGTGGGTGAAGTGAGCCGTCGCCCATGGCCGCACCTAGGAGGCCTCGCGATAACCCTTTAAATGCTACGCCCCCTCCACTTTACCTCAGATGACTAATTAATTGAATCACATTTACGCTCGTAGTGTGTTTGTTTCGATTCTCCCAAGAAGCCCCCTCTTAAGTGGGACTGTGAGATCATTGTAACTATCTTTAAAAACCGCGACTCTGAGATTGATGGAATATGAGACTTGTTAGGCTTTAATAGCTATGGGCAGGGGCGGATTGTGAATTTTTGGGGACCTGTGCTATTACTAATAAGGGGCCTTTTTTGTTGATGGGGTGGAAAATCGCTTTTGGATTTCCTGCGCTTAACTCTGAGAGGACCACAACCAAGTGATTCCAGGTCTTTCACGGATCAATGCCGACCTAACTAGGTCCTATCCAAGAAGAAACGCAACCTTCCCCGCCTTTTGGCCTAATGTGTAGTGGCCCGACCATTTTTGATACGATCGCTGGCGGGGACAAATCCCGCCCGATTTGATCTACCAGGACCTCCCGTTTAGACACCCAGGCAGGCCCTTCTCTTGCGCATGCTGGTCGGTGTCCCAGTTGGCTGCGCAGTGCTGGCATTATACCGTTTCTTCACGTCCGATCGAATTCAGGTATTCACCGAAGCAACCATGCCCGAGGAGTACCTGCGTCAGTTGGTAGGTGACGCGACCTGACTCTCTAGTTACTCACCCTTCGAGGTTTAGCAGAATGGCACCAACAGCGTGATAGCGCACGTTCCGCGGCTGGTGATCCCCTAGATTAGACAGCAGCCTCTAACTCAGGGTATCCAGGTCCAGGGTGAGACCTCTGTTTACCTTACGCGATACCCGACGCTAATGAGCGAGCGTGTAAGATCTGCACCTCTGCATTTCTTGTGAAACCACAGGAATTCCGTCTTATAGCACGCTAACCGTAGGCCCGGACCGCTCATCTTTTGGACGACACAGGCTATCTCTAACTCGACCAGCTCCAAGTCCTCCTCGGAGTAACAGACGACACTTACTTCTAGGGGAAGACTAGTTCTCGGGTCTGCATTATGCGGTTCCACCGACGAGGTCCTAGGACTGACGCTTGGAAAAACCCTACTTGTAACCTACCTTCAAAATTCTTCACCGTCTCGATCCATATACGATATGGACCTGTCGTAAAAATAAACTCCGAAGATGCCAAGCGGGTAGGGGAGCAACGGTGGGTCGGTACCAGGGATTACGTTTCTAGGGTACACCTGGCTCCCCCGCAACTGATACCCGAGACTGCGTGCGGCTTTTAATGAATATATGCAATAAATGCAATGCAATAAATGAATCGTGGGGCGCAGCGTCATGCCCGAATCACTTAACTGATTTTAAAAATTCGTTCACTAATGGAAAGCTATATTATCTGCGATTAACATAGCCTACTATACTACTATACCGCGATAACACATACACGCGGGTGGAGCCGCTGGAAAAAGCTACTTTTAAAATAAAACAAAATAATGTTTTTTCTTAAAACTAACGAACTGTACCTACCGAACCAGATGTTCGGTAGGTACAGTATCTTATCGAATGAAACAAATGTTATTGAGAGCCTTAAACGTGTTTTTTTTAAGGTAGCTAGGTTTGAGAAACTAAATGAAAATTGTAAATTTAATCGTAGGGGAGCCATTGCCATTTGTTTAGTTCTGTCAAACAACGTCTCCTATTCTTAAAACGTAATATTTGACAGGACAAAATTTTTAGTGATTTTTAGTTTGGTTTAGAGAGTTTTCGAACAACAGAATTAGCACCATTGTTTAGCTCGGCTCGGCAATGAATGCAATAAAATAAAATCGTTGGGCGCAGCTTAACCTGAGTGTATACATGTATGTATAGAGTGTCGATACATAATATGAGTTGTTGATTGTCCATAGAAATTTCATAGTTATTTTTTAGATTTTAGTACGTTAACTACATCATCGTTATCTTTTATTTCAATAAAACCGTTTAACTTAATACTTTTTTTACCTACAGCATATACTTAGGAATAAAATAATGACAAAACGTACTATTAATTAATAACAACTCGTATTTAATATTTGAACAGTTCATTATTAACTGATTAATAGGTCTGTACATTCCATCGACAGTCTATTGATACAATATTAAAATAGCAGAATTGAGGCCCAGTACTTTTACGTTGAAACTAACCCATTACTTTTTGCTTTTCATCACAACATCATACTAGGTACATACGGATACTGGATATTAAATACATATTAATAGATTTCAGTCACGGAGGTAGGTACTTATGTATTATCGTCTAACTCAGAATCGTATTCCGAATTATCCTTCATCATCGACGTTTTTCGTCAACTTTTCGCTGAAAACACCCTTCGTCCGAAGTCGGTTCTACAAAATACAGTTCAGCGATGAACGGTTCGTCGAAAACACCCTTAATGGTCCCTGAAATGGAACAATCGTTGTAGGTTCGACTATAACATCCTTCATCCATGGTAGCTTTAATCGAAAATTGATTTTAAAATTTGAACTGGTTTATTATCAAATTACCTCATTAATATTATTTGAAAATACTAGCAGCAACTGGATCTGTATATCTAAAGATCTGGTTAGTTATTATTAAAATGATAGGTCTTTACCTATGAAATTGCCCTTTTGTATGCAATAAGTGAAAGTACTTATTTTTCCAAACTTTTTTATTTCTGTTATTCGAAGTAATCACCCATGCAATCGACGCATCTTTGCCAACGCATTGGCAGTTTATTGATGCCCTTCTTGTAAAAATCAGCTGTTGTCGGAATAGTTTTGCACTTTTCCTATTCTACTAACTATGTAAGACCAATGGCCGATCCCGATGACTTGTCACTGATACAAATATCGTCGATGTCTTTGTAATAGTTTGGTACACGCTACATTTTATATTTGTAAGGAAATGATATATTTCATTTTCCAGGTATGGCAATGTTGTTGATATCACCATTGATGACCTATATTACTATATCGACAGTCTTTTGACACTTTGAATTTATGTTAACAAAATACTGATATTTTGACCGATGTCGATGGCGTCTCAATGGCATCTCAATAGCGTGTCAATGGAATGACAGTGGCTTGGCGTTAACATAAAATAGCAGAATTAAGGCCCAGTTCTGCGTTGAGTCAACTGCCAAAATTATTTCTTTTGATAAATTACCTATCTACCTATTTAATTGTTAGGACGATTTAACTTCTTGAGACCCAGCTTCTTGCGTTAAATTATTATTATTAATTATTATTATTATTTATTAGGTCCTTTTTTTTAAATCAATTTTTTCATAAACTTTGTTAACTGTTACTGCTACATCTGTATTGGATAATATTAAGTATTTAAACGAATATATATGAATACGTTTTACCTAATTTATATTTCCTAAGTTAATCTGTCGCTTAAAATACTGCATTTAACGGCATTCACAAATTCTTCAAAATTGCACCTGCGGACACGTTGTCATTTTATTCATTCAGAATACAGTAGTATTTTGTTCAACTAAAAGAGCATGTTTATTTGTTACCTCATGACTAACATTTCAATGATACCACTATAACGAGCACGATAAAGTCAGAAAACTAAAACTACACGATATTCAAGGAACGTGTCAAAGGCAGAATGCAGCATTGCCGCAAGCCGTGAAGGTTTGCCCTTCACCTTTAATTTAAAAAGGTTGGCGGTGTCAAAAGAAGAACAAGTCGAAGCCCCGCTTTACAAGGTGGACTGTCAACACAAAGTGGCAACAAGTGGAAATCCCCTCGGATACCACCTACCGGTGGCTATGTCAACTCGAACCGACTAAAAACCGCACGCCGTCTAGGGTACCAGTAGCCGGGGAACCAGGTGAACCAGGTACCCTAGAAAGGAAATCGATGGTACTCCGACGTACCTCGGGCCATCTACGGCGGGTAGATGACCCCCTCCTGTGTGGGATGTTCCCTTGGTGCTCAAAAAAGGGCACGCGCGCTCCGAAACGTTTCTCGCCGCCACCCCGGCCTACTTCTGCTAGGGTGACAGAGGGCCTCACCTGTCATCCCCAGGCTTGCGCTTATGGAAGACGGAGGTCGTTCTGTGACCTCCGGCGCCCGAATCGTCTGCGGTACCTGGCCCGTTCCCGGGCCTGGCAGGCTGGGAGATTTCTAAAACTCTTCCGGTAACGCTCCGCCATGATAACCTTCGCAAGCATAACTTGCTCGCAGAAGGAGACCACTCCGATGGCCCCCACGAGGTCACGCCTCTGCTCCACCCACGCCGGGCCACCGTGTGGTGGGCCGTGTCCACGGTCCGGCCATCGCAGTGGTGGCACTCAGACGTTGGCTCCTTGCGGATCAGACACAGGTGATCTCCGAAACAACCTTTCCCGGTGATCACCTGTGTCAGCCGGTATGAGAGGGTTCCGTGCTCGAGCCAATCCCCCATAACGGGTCTTACCGACGCAATAACGGCGTGCGTGGCAATACCCTCATACCAGTGTTCACTGATTTAAGTCATTGTTCTAGGCTTTTCAACGTCTTCTACAGGATGAAGAGTGCTGGTCTTCTCATGTTAACAATAGGGCGTCATTATAATCTACTTAATAAAAAAAAAATACATTTTAACAAATACTTTATTTTAAACATAGCACCTAGATTTTTGTCTCCGAGATCCATTTACAAAATTCAAGTCTCAATAAATAGGTAGAAGGTAGGAACTAATGGCGTGTATCTACAGTAGAGGCTTTTGTTTAACATGGTATTTACCTATCATGTTATATTTAATAAATTGAAGTTAATTTAAGTATATTTAAAATACCTCCATCATTCAGGACGTTTGTTATATTGTTACATATTTACCTGATTAATATGTTAAGGTAATATCAATGGACGGTAGTCATATCCAAATATGTAACAATGAGGCCTTTAATAGGTACTAACTAATATTTTACCTTAATAAAAGCTAGATGAAATCCTCCCAAACTATTTACATACATATTTAAACTTGTTACTATCGTACTGTATGTACCTACATATATAACGAAGATTTTATGTTGCGTACACAATTACATGATGATTACACTGGTTCTATGTTTAGTTCGTTACCAAATTAGTAAGAAACATATTAATTCCAATTAGAAACATATATAACATCAAGTGTTTAATAGATCGGTACATAATTTAGAGAATTACACGTGCAAGTTATTAAATAAGGTGAACATCAAATATTATTTTCATCACAAAAAAAATATGAATTCACCAAGTTTTAACAATAACCAGATATGCACCAGTAACACAAACTATATTATTCGATATATTAAACATATTTTTACAAATAAATAATATTTTTTGAAATTCACAACTTATCATGGAGGTACTTATCAGAATAACCAACTCCACCTACAACACTAGGTACCCACTTAAGCATGTGTACACTATCTTATTCTTGAAACTTGTGAATCATTCACAATGATTCAGTTTATACAGTTCTTTGTTCTTTTATTAAGACTTAATTCATTGTCTAAATTCGTAAACGAAAACAAAAGCAAGGATCTTTTGTTTCCTGAAATAAATTAGGCCAAAAATTACAAACATCCTCATACTGTAGATACACACACATGTTAAGCTTTCAAAGACTTAAAAATGGATTCAATATAAATGATGATGTGCGATTATCTTAGAGATATGCATAGATATTCAATTTTGAATAATTCGTACGTAATTATCATAAAGACGGATTTCTTGATGTGTAAAATAAAATGAGGAAAAGAAAGAAATACATTATCATAATTTTTTCTAGTTATAAATGTTGTGTACTCACGACGAAGACTATTCTATCCTATAGCCTTCTAGCATATAGCCATGGGAGATGCACCACGTCAATCGCATCATGGTGGTTGTAATGTTATCATATAGCCATTTAAATTATTTAAAAAGAACTGACAATAAGGAACTACTTAATGGTGTTTTGAAAAATAACTATAGTTAACAGTTTATAAAAAATACAACTAATATAAACTATTGCTATTTCATTCAGAACCCTTCTAAGACTGGCTCAATAGCTATAAAGTTATATTAAGGTACTAGTAACCTTAACACTAACAAAATAGAAGCCCCCATTAAATATACCTTACTTTCTTATCATTATTGTAATATTAATTATGTCTTAGGTCACTTTTAAGTCTTTGAAAAAGCTTTTATATTGAAAGGAGTAAAGCTCGAATTCTATTCACAATGAAGCAATTCCAATACAGTTCGCACTACACACTTTAATAATAAACATCTATTGTTACAATCACTCTCACAATACTTCAAGTCTCAGTTACACAAATAGTTTTCCAGTTCCTAGAAAGTACAACAAACAAAATTTTAATCAATTGTTTTATTTCATATACTTTTCAATCAATAATTTAACACAAGTATACACTATAGACTTACATAGTTATACAATGTAAATTGCATTGTAAAAGAATTGTACAAATACTTGAATATAATTATGTAAGACATTGATGTTAAATGAAGACATTAAAATGCCTAATGGGGTATATCTGCAGTAATTGGAAATGAGATCACACTGCAAATAAATAAAAATATGTATGCTTGGGATGTGATGTAACATTTGAAACTCTTTTGTAAGAAACTGAAACTTGAAAGTACATACATTATTACTACAACATTGGTACATATTCTAGCGACTTTGGAAGATGATATCATGCATACATATGAATATTCAATAAGTGTATGTAAATGTTTAGAAAAAAGTAATTGACAGCTACTTCATAGACATCATTTCATTAATACAGCCTCCAAATTAAGATATCATATGTATTGTAGATGGCAAGAAAACCATAACCATGTATTTATGAATGGAGATGTGATATATATTATGTGCCTCTTCTTCTAGATGGAAAATGCCACCCATTATTACAAGATCTAGTGTGTTGTGGTATTAATCGTTAATACACTACTTATATGCTGGCAAGACAAGGCCTTTATAAACTAACCGTATTATGTGTGTCCCTCATAAAAGGCAATTTTGGTGATTTTTGACACTATTATTGCAGCATAATTTATATTTATGCTGACATGTGACACACATCTGACTCAATAAACTTTCCTGTTACCATGTAAACATTCAAAATCTGACACCCCACTATTTATTATCAGTTACATTTCCTGTGGAAAAACATTGATTCCTGTTTGACAGCCACTTATCTATACAGAGATATAGTTAAATCATAAAATACATCCACATTTAAAAATAAATACTTAAAAAATAAATATGCCTACCAAACAGACAGCAGTTTCAAATTAAAATTAGAAACTAAGTTGCCATTTGGTCTAAACTAAATGCACTGTATTTTAAAGGTCTTACACCTAAATATAAAACATCACAGTTAATACTGAATAAGTAGTAAATAAATACATATAAATAAATAGTTTATTCAGATAAGTTATCATTGGTTCTGTATAAAATAGCTTTGCCTTTTGAGCTGCCTGTATAGAGAAATATACTTTCCTGCAGCAGATGTTCTTGGGACAACATATTGTTTGCAGAAAAGTTTAGGGTCCCTAGCTTTCTCTGAAAGTTCTCCACAGTCAAGTGCTCGCAAAAACGCAAGTACAAATGTGAAGCAGTTGTGTCTTTCTTCATTGTATCGATCCGCTTCCCACAAAGGACTCAAACTCACCTGAAGGAAAAACATGCTTGATTTAGATTCTAGCATTATCTTTTATTGTACTTTCACACATGACATACCTTGAGCAAGACACTGTCCCATATTTCATTCCACAATTCGTCAAATTGTTCTAGCAGCAAACACTGGTCCCATTCTACACTTGAATCACAGCTACTCCACTTTTTGGTCATGGGATCGACACCACGGATCCCTTCTTCACTAAACTCAACCACACATCCCTGGGAGTTAGTTACACCTATGTGTAAATCTTTGGAATTGTAGTAGTCACTAAAATATAGAACGAAATACCGATTAAAAGTGCCCCATACACTTAGGGAGAATACATAACATGGCTTTAAAAAATATCTAGTTTTAATCTTATTTACTTCAGGAAATCGCCGTGAGTAGGCTTCATGACGATCGCTCGAGGATGCTGAGATGCCTTTACGAAAGGGTAGGGAACTCTGTAAAAAATAAGGCACTTAGCAACAACCTTCAATATTCATGATTTTAGAAAAATTGTTACAAGTGTTATCACCTGAACGGGAGCAGGTTATAGTCATATCTGTCTAATTTTTGTTGACAGACTGGACAATTCTCTGGTATTATAGTGCAAAACACTTTATGATCACAATGGTGGAAACAAAGAATACCCGGATCCATTTTCTCACTCAAAATATAATGAAATTTTCAATGAAACCTAAACTTTTTGCAACATTAACACAATTATTAACTAATCTAGAAGCTTTGAGCAAAAAAAGACCGTGATATCCAGCAGAATAACTTATTGAACAAGCAAAAGTCTAATGAGAATCTCATTAGAACTGCACCATAGTCCACCTTTCACATCTCGAATTCTCGACTCTTGCAGTCTCGCTCCAATGAAATAAAACCTTTTCTTTTTACAGTGTTTCCATCTCCCAAACATATTTACCACTAAAGATAACGTCAAAATCCCTAACATACATTTGGTAAAAATTAGATTTACCGATGCTGATTGGAAAAATCATGGAAAAAATAATTTTTATTTTTACTTACTTACTACTACTTTTGCAGTGCTGCTGGCTTTGTTTTCCTGATCTAAGGGCATGTATTTTTGAATATTTGATTTTTATCTTGTAGCATTGTTAACAAATTTCTAATAGGCACATTAGAACAAATACAAAAGTTAAGTAGCATTTTCAAAATAAACAATTATAACCGTATTTCTAACTAACATGTACTTTGTTTAAAGAAAGTAAAAGTAACATTTCAGATTATTTTATAGTTTATTTTACGTGGAGCATACTTAATGTCTCTAGATCTGGCCACTTACAATAAAAGCATGAAAAAACAATTGTGGAATTCGAAAATGGAACACTTTGGGATCATGTTACTTTTGAATTTGCGAGACCGTCGTATGTTTTGTCATCGTGACGTCCTTTCGAAAATTGTGTGTCACCATTAAAATTAATTTAACTCGTGAACATTTTCTTCAATGTATTAATATGATTTTATATATATATATATAGATTTTATATAATAAGAGAGTTGCTAGAGACTTCAATTGGCATTTGGTGATGTTGCACCATGTCGAAGCTCTGTGTATTCGTGGTTTGGAGATTTTAGACGTGGACGTGATTATCTCCATGGCATGGTACGTGAAGGTTGGCCGACGACTGCAGTTACAGACTCTAATATGGACACCTTATTGACAACTTATTGAAACTGACAAAAAATTTACTTGCCAGCAAATTCGTGCTTTGTTAGGCATTGAAATGAGCCAAGTGCAAAACATTTTACATGTGCATCTGAAGGTCCGGCAGTTTTGCACTTGATGACTGACATAATGGAGGACCAGACATGACTGCGTGTCCAATGGTGCCGAAAAAAAAAGGTTTAACGGAGGAAAGTCATTGGCTGTTTATAATATCGTGACAGGGGACGAAACCTGGGTGTACTGCTTTGAACCCGAAAGAAGAAGCCAGCCCGTAGAGTGAGTCTTTCCTTTTAAAGATTTGCCGACGAAAGTTAAGAAAAGTCGAAGCATTGGTAAAAAAATGGTTGCTTCTTTTTTTGGCAAATCAGGACATTACACTACAGTATCGCTTGAAGATCAAAGAACAGTGACTGCAGATTGGTACGTCAACACTTGCTTGCCAGAGTCTTAGAAAAAGTTCGCAAAAAGCGTCCGCGAAGCAATGTCCTCCTTCACCACGATAACGCATCCTCACATCCCGCTAAGGTAACAGAAACCTATTTGAAGGCTTCAAGTGTGGAACTGGTGACGCATCTGTCTTACAGCTCGGACCTAGCACCCTGCAACTTATTTTATGTTCCAAATTTAAGACAAAATTAGAGGCACACGTTTTACGAGCCCTGCGACTCTCTTCCAGTAAAAAACTCCCTAAATTTGGGGGGAAACAGCCCAATGTTAGTAACCTTGTCTTTTCAGAAAGTACTTCATACGTTCATAAGTATGACTTAGAGTTAAAGTACATATCTGTCTGATAACGTTTGGTTCAGCATCAGATATTGATATGACAGTGAAAAAAGTTGAATATAACATTTATGCAACAAAACAAAGCTGATCTAGGATTGTATAACATTTAATTTTATAAAGAATACTCCAGTCCCATACTAAACACAGCAAGGTTCTGATTGCACCTGCACCGCACTTCGCGATTGGTTAAAAATCAGCTGTGAACAGATGATTTAATTCGCTGTTGTCATTGGCTACGAGTTCACCATCCTTTCAATGTTATTGGCTGGTATGTTTTAGCGGTAAATTTGAAAATGGAATTTGGAAATAAAATTTTCACTTAAATGTTTAGCACATTGAGTACCTACCTATTGATTTTCAAACTGAGACTTTTCCGAAATCTGTACACTAACACTTATGATGAGCTTGTTGATTGAATCAACAAGCTCATCATAAGTGTTAGTGTAAGCACTAACTAACTAACTAACTGTAAGCAAGTAATTTAGTATTAAATATCTGTAAATGTTTTAGTGTAAAATTAGTTGTTATGTAAACATTTCAGCAAAAAATGTTGACAATCCATAAAAAAATAATTGAACTTTTTCCTTCTTATAAAAACTTTAAATTGTGTCCCAGACGCGGTTTAGAATTTTATTTCTAGATATATTCTTCAGGCTTAACAATGTATTGACATTTAATTCCTTTACTGAGAGGGAGATGATATGTGTGCCCGTCTATACGATGGTGTTAGAATTTTGTCAATAATCGTAAGTCACGAATCTATTCCATTGTATATTTATGTGTTACCATGGCAACGAACCGTGGCGGTAAACCACACCTCACCGGTGAGACCCAGTTTTGGTAACAGTGTACTCTGAATAGGGCCTCCTTTTGTTAAGCGTTAGTTCCGAATTTAATGTGCCGTTAAATATTTTGAACAGTATGTTATAGAATGTTACGTTCGTTTTTAAATACGCTTTATTAAATTTATTGGTTTTAAACGATCCTATAACATTACTGTGGCATTACAAGCGTCTCATTGAACTTACCACGTTTTTAATTAGTTTTATTAAAACTCTAGGACATCATGACATTATAAGATCTCTTAAAATTAAATATGAATAGGGAGAAGAGTCGTGCTATATTGCAAACAATTTGGTGGTTGCTAGCAGCAGCGCGGGTGGTAACCGCTGGGCTATCCTGCCTCAGCAACCCTTGCTTACACGGCATTTGTATAGACGACGTTAACACGTAAGTATCGAGTCACCCTATGCTAAATAGGTTAATGGTGAGCCATTAACCAAACGTTTAATTAATAAAGTTAAAGGTACCTACATACTTGTAGCTCTGTCACAGACGATCACATCAATCATAATCTTCAATTAATAATGTCTTTCCGGCAACTAAATCTTATTTACTGTTAATTTATTAATTCCTACGGACATATGTCATCTACATTCATTATTAAAGTTTTCTCTTTGAATTAAATTAATCTCAATCTTTGAGCACATTTTGTGGAAAAACTATACGTGAAACTATGATTTGTTATAAAAATGAAAAAAATGCTAGTATAATAAGTCGGTAAGGTTAAATATTGTACTTGTGAACGGGTACCTACATAAAAATTATGAAATGGACCCGGGAAGTAGTTGTGAATACTTGTTAGTTTCATGTCTCAATACAGAAAAAGGTGTTTAAAATCATTATGAGTAAGGAATTGAGTTTAATTAGCAACATGCGGGTGCTTAATGCGTGTCTGCTTACCTCGTAGGGGATAAAGGAACGTGTGTAGTAAAGTAAAAATATTACATGTATCAATGTATGTATGAAAATATATTATCTACACGAACGACAACGAAGGTCCTTTAATTCTTTCTAAATATTACTTTAATTTGTCAACTTTTTCACCAGCGTCCCTAGAAGTGTAAAGAATTGTCCCTAAAAGTATAAAACTCACCCTCAGACTTAAACTGCAAAAAAAATTATTATCTTTTAAATCTAACTGGAAATTGTTGGATGTGGTATATATTTCACTAAAACACTGTTCCTCCCAGAACATACTCTTGTTATTGCGTGGATGGCTATACTGGTGTCCAGTGTCAGACAAATTGGGACGAGTGCTGGTCAAACCCGTGTCAGAATGGAGGTACCTGTATTGATGGTATTGCATCTTTCAACTGCTCCTGCCCCGATGGATTTATTGGTAAGTACAAAAAAACTTTTTGGTGAATGGATAATCCTCAGACGGTGGGGTTTACAATACCTACGTTATAAGTTACAGACTTTATTATTTCACATTTGGCTATGATATTATTTAAGTCTGATTAAAATGAACACCAAACGAGCGACTTTCTTGATGTCAAAGAAGCAGGATAACGTAATTAAAGTTATTTTCTTAATTTGATTAAAGTTAAAACTCCAAGTTCAGCCGTGTCGTAGTAGACTGAAAGCCGACCCTAACCTAGTTTGGGAAAAAGGCTCGGAGGAAGAAGACAATTTAATTAAAATTAAAAGTGTGTTGATTTTTTTACAAAAACGTAGATTTGTGTAATTTTCGTAATTCATATTTATTTAACACATTATTTAAAACTTAAGTACAATTTAAGTGAAGTCGAACAATGGGAGCTGAAACACAATCTTGCCCTTATAAAGAGACAGGGCAAGACCTAAGGCTTGTGAACAAGTTTGATCAACTGTCGTAGCAATCAAGCAAGTTGTGAGAAAAAAAAAGTTGAACCAACTTCAAACAACACAACAGAGCACTTAAAATTAAAAAATAATTACAAATCTAAGTAAAAAAACTTAATAAGTACCCTCAATATAACAGGTAACATTATAATAGCAATAGGCCCTTCTAGTCTGTTTGAAGTTGGTGCCAAGCAAAATAGGTGTTTGACAGGCTTGGTAGAATGTAGCGCGGCAGCTGCAACAGTCTTCATGCTCCGCAAAACATGCTGAACGAGGTAAAGTGGGTTGCGTACATCTCCAATTGTATTTTTATTTTGAATTATAAAGAAATTTATCAAATTTGCGCGGGTAATTTATCTGGTTGGTCTTTATTAAGTGTTAAGTGTTATCCTCTAACTCCTAAAGGTCGAGAACCCTTCCATCATCAGCTCAGCAACGTGACATAACGACTACTAAACGCCAATACCTATTAAGCTAGAGAAATAAGCTAAAATACTTTGTCGGGGCTGTAAAATTTTAGATTTTAGATCCGATCATGAGATCTTGATTTGGTGGCCAACTGTTTTGAAAATCGGTCCACAATTGACGGATATATCGTGTGACAAACATAGAAAAAAACAGACGAATTGATAACCACTTATTTTTGAAGTCGGTTAAAAATCAACAGCTGTCTTACATTTAAGAAGTCAGTCAAGTTACATTTGGAAGGAGTCGATGTTTTAGTCTCATGTGCGTGACGCATAACACCAAAGCAATAGAAAACGAAGCCTTATCTTTTGACCTACGTAACCTACTCGTATGTAGTTGCGTTTCATAAAATTACTTTTCAAAGAATAGTTCAACGGATTTCAGACATAAGCGATGATCAGACATACTTTCTTAATAATAAATTGAGTACTTAGATTATAATTAGATGAATAGATTTTTTTGAATTACTCTTAAAAAAATTAAGGTTAAAAATGGACCTCTTTCTTAGACACAAAGCAATTACAATAGTAATATTCTCGTAAAATGCTATTGTTGAAATTTGTTTTTAACTGAGTACAAAACTAGCGCCGAATATTAACATAAATAAATAGCGCGTGATGGTGAGCAATTGGATTGGAATTACAACTTGTAGTAAAATTGTGGGGTTCATAGTTTTAACTTTGGTCTTTGGTTTACATATATTTGAATAACAGTTTTTTTTTCATATTAGATGTATTTTTTTATTTTTAGATGTGTTACAATTTTTAACTTAAAATTTTGATTATTTTACACGACGACGAAAATATTTTTTTTTTTTGCCTAGTTTGTACCTAATTCAAACTTTACTATTCCTTATGATTTTTGTTTTAGTTTTTCGTAAGTACTTACATAGGATACCTACCGTATTTTTTACATGAAATGTAAAGTGGATGTAGACTACTAATCCTAACTCATCCATCAAAATGTTCGTACATAATTTGACAAATTAAATACACTATGCGTGTAAATATATTGTTCTTTAACCTTTATTACGTAATTTAGTAATTATAGGGTACCATATAAGGTTGTTGACACATATGGTTGTACAATATTTTGTCAATTTAGTATACCATCAGGGGTATACCGTACGGTGTACCTGCCCTTGGCGTAAATATTAATGTTTAATACATTAGCGTCGATAGCATCAAACTTAATTTTATTATCGAACCGTATTTTTAATGTTATTCTATATACTTACTATATAAGGGACAAAAACAATATTCATTATCAGGATACTTTAGTAATAATATTGTCAAACATTTTCGTAGTAAGATATGTATGTTATCAATGATGATGTATTGGTATCGTATTTGATGAGTCGTATGTTTTTTTTTTCACTTAATTGAGTAGAATTGAGTTCTTTATTGTAGGGAATCGTTTAACATCAAGTTAAAATAGTTTTACACTTAACAGCAGCAGTTCGAATTTTTGGTTGTTAATATGTGACTTTTAATTAAAGCGTTCACCAAAACTATGCAAGTTTCTGTTACTTAATTGGGTCTTAATTTTTATTTTTTGAAACTTTACGTGTTTGTTAAAATGTTGAACAGCATGACAATTTCCTAGTTTATACATACATTATATTGGTACAATAATCATCAGTACCTTGCCAAATGGATTTATCTTCCTGCTCTTAGCCGCTAGTTTGATAGACTTGTCTTACGTTATCATAAAATAAGCAGAAAGTTTATAGTGATGTCTTGATGATTAATAGCCAATTCTATGAACAACTTGATTCATTAGTTATATCATATTTTAAATATTTATACTTACAATGTTTACAGGTGATAATTGTGAGACGAATTACGACGAATGCGAATCCAACCCCTGTCTGAACAACGGAACTTGCATTGACATGGATAATGGCTACCTCTGTTCGTGTGTTCCCGGATACTCTGGGATGCATTGCGACATTGATGAGGCAGTCTGTAACTCTACTGAGGAAGTGAGGTGCTATAACGGAGGACAGTGCATCGAGGGGCCTGGTTTTAAATTCTATTGTAAATGCCTGCCAGGTATGTAGTTTGTATAATGAACTAATATTCTCAGTAAGATGCTAATTCAGCATCTTACTGAGAAAGATATTCAATTTTTAATAAAAAATGGAATATCTTTTGTTATAACTACTACATTTTAGATTTCTATTTTTTCTGGCAAAGGTTAAAGCTATTTTATTAGCGACGACCTCATCTATAACATTTCGGCTATTTATGTTTTTTAACAGCCATCGAAAACCTAACGAAACACTAGCAGATTCCACTTGCCTGTATAGCAGCTTTTAGCAGTTACCAAGAAAATCAGCTTATATACTTCTGTGCGACTAAGAGTATTAGTACCATCTTTAATTTTACAAAGTTAAGATTTGGTGTTAAATGACAACTTTAATTTAATATAATTCAAGACCCTACTTTTTTGTAAAATGTTATATTTAAAAAAGTAACATAACATTATTTGTGAAACAGAGCTATATAATCACCAACTCAATTATCTTGTTAATGCGGAAGTAACTACTTATTTAATGTTCTTATTATCATAACATTTTGTATCTTAGAATATTATTATAATTTGACTTTAAGTGTTTGTACTCACCATACTACTATTACCGACTATATTTAATATTACTTTAAAGGCTGGGCTGGACCTAAATGTGAAGATCAAATAGATGAATGTAAATCCAACCCATGTCTTAACGGTGGAATATGCATAGACGTTCACGCCGACTACATGTGCGCTTGCACATTTGGTAAGTATCCCGTGTTTAGTCATCAAAACGTATGGGTTAGGCATCTCGCATTCGCGAAAAATAATAATCAACAGTTAAACCAGGGAAAACAGGGTTTTCTCAAAATATGCCAACCGAGATATTTCGACGTATTTTGGTTCCTCTCGGTACATCATATTAATAATAATACTAAAATGCAACAGCTGAGACCGTGGCATTATTTTGTAATTTGCTGTTAAAGTTACAAAAACGTAATTTTTCGCCATTATAAATTTTCCTCGACTTTTACGAAGTCTCGACTTTTTTTAATGTATTTTGAGAAAGTTGAGAGAGAAAAAGTGAGACTTAGTAGAGTTTTTACAACATGCAAAAAACTGCTTAGTCATAAACACAGATTCAAAGCACAACTATTAAGGAAGATAATGAGCCTAAATACAACATTGTACGACTTTCCAAAGCTTTTTAATAAAGGGTGTAAGGGACGTCGCAAAGAATACTGAAATGGTGTATTCAGATCATCATTCTGAGTGGAAAATCCTTGGAATTTTCTGCCGGAAAATTAAACTTTTTATGCAATCAGCTGTCAAAGGTTAAGGTCATTCCCCGTAGGTATCGCCCAAAAGGAATAACTACATGTGTATTCCGTGCAAATAATCTACGCACATTAACATAAGTTGGCGGCCGGAGGGGAGACCCCGCGCTTTCGGTTGTTTGATTACTTACATTGCAGTTTTTGACCGTATGCGGTATTTATTAAATTGTTTTCGGTAAAATTTTCTGTTAACTCATTGTGATATCATGTTTCATCATTTTTAACTAAAAAATGGAAAATTATAAAAAAATGATGAATTTTCCGCCAGAAAATTCCAATGAGTTTCGACTCCGAATCGTGGTCTGAATACACTATTTCAGTATTGGTTACGACGTCCCTTACACCCTGTATATAAATGGCTTTTTGCAAAACTATGCAATGGACTACTCCAAAAAAAAACATATACTACACATGGCTATGATTTAATAAAGTTTGGTAAGGTTAGCCTACATTTATAATTGTTTATTTAAACAAAAAAAAACGATTTTTAGCAATTTTTTGCATGTTGTAATAAAAACAAAATAACCAATTGGAATGCACCAAGTCTCATTTTGTAGATTTCTGATATTGCATTTCGATAACCTACGATTTTGCAAGTTTAACGGCAAATTTCAAAATAATGCCACGGTCTCAGCTGTTGTATTTTAGTTATAATATCATGATGTATCGAGAGGAAGTAAAATACGTCAACATATCTCGGTTGGCATTTTTTTTTCCAAACATCTATATAGTCGACTCCTTGTCCTGGTCTAAGTGTATGATATATCAACTCCAAAAATGTTGTTGCCCATCATAACCACTCTCACAATCAACACCAAGATAGGTAAATGCGTATTAACACTAAGAACACGGGTTTTTGAACAAAGCCGATGATTATGGGTGCTTTTCTGATTTTCTTGACACTAGAAATATTTCTTGCGTCGCGGGTGACTTTACGAAGATTCATGAAACGAACACAAAGAAAACCCATGATCAGAACAACAATTTGTGTTTAACACAAAGTGTTGTCCTATGTAGGGATCGAACCCAAAACACTCGAGGCGAGGTGACTTCAACCACCACGGTAGCCATGCAGTGGAGAAGAATATAAATTAAAGATAAATATGTGTTCTAGGGTACACTGGTAAAAGCTGTGAAGTTCAAATAGAGTTTTGTGATAAGAACTCTTGCAGCAATAATGCTCTTTGTGTCGTGGAAGATGGAGCAAGAGTGTGTTATTGTGTGCCCGACTATCATGGAGAAAGATGTGAATTGCAATATGATGAGTGTTTACTAGGACCTAGGTAAGTCAAACCACTACTTAATAGGTCATGTACTCCAGTTTGCAGTAGAATCGCGTGATCCCACAATTCTTTAGCAAAATATCTGCAAAAATTATTATAAAATGTAACTAGTTTACTGATATTAAACATGCAACTCATTTTGGGGTTAACGATTTCTAAATTATACCGGTTAACATAGAACAGGATGTTTGATGTTAAATTAGAATTTGTTAATGCTGTGATCATTTATAAAATTTTATCAAAATTACAGATGCTTGAACGGGGGCACTTGTGTCGACGGTGTGGACAATTTCACATGCTCCTGTCCTCCAATGTTAACGGGTCCTTTATGCGAATGTCTCATCCTTGGCGACGAGCGCTACGACTGCGAATACGTCAGCCCAACACCTTTAACTAACTTCACACTGTCTGTTCTGACCACATTACCAGGAGAAACTACCACACACACAACTATCAATACCGAAATATCTTCCACTTATACTACTTACAATGATACTACAGCATCAATCACAACTGTAGGTGATATTACTTCAATGACTACAATTACAACTAGCAGTCAAACCAACATCGACACTACTACAAAGTCAAGCGAAAGTACAATAAAAGAAACCGAGCTAACTTCCACAGCTACTGAAACAGTCACAACAAGTGAAGCCACGACTAAAGCTGAAATGGTAGAACCAACGGAAAAAGAAGAAACTCGACCGACAGTAGAATCGGAAAACGCTAAAACAGAAGCAACTACTGAATGTAGTGGAACTTGTAATGAAACTGTTACTAAAGCTCCTACTACAGTAACAGAAGTCTCTGTAGGTTCTACATATACTACTAAGTCTTTGCCAACTGATGAAGTCACGGAGGAAATTGCTACGTCTTCTACCACAAGTAGCACTCCTAGCAACACAACTCCGGGGATGGTAACAGAAATAACAATAACGTCCAAATTAGATGTCAGCACAGACCAAATGTTTACAGACGTGCCAACTGATCAGCCTGTCACCGACTATCCTGTAACTATTCCTACAGTGTTTACTACAACTACCGAAGTAATTGAAGTTACAAGTGAGACTGAACGGGAAACGCCATATACTACAGTACAGTCTGAATGTACTGATTCTATTTGCAATGATCATGGCAGTTGTATCAATACTCCCCATGGTATTCGAGTAAGTAGCGTTTCTTCTTTATTATGTAAATACGCTAAGAAAGTGTCTCATATTTTTTTAAATCCGAAACTCAGTATTTATTCTAAGTATCTGTGCGTTTCTTTGAGTTTCTTGAACAGCCATTGCAGCCTTACGTACCACGACAGGCCAACGTGTAAGTTGATGGTAGCAGTTTTCACAAAAAAAAAACTGACATAAAAGTTTTTTTTTTTTTTTGAAATTTTAAATACATACGAGTACTCATCTTTACGTATTTCCATCATCTCTTTATAATTTACTAGTATCATTTCAGTGCCATTGCAACTTCAACTACGCTGGAAGATTTTGCGATGAGAAAATATCAGTTACGTCAGCTGCCTTCGGAGGTAATTCATTCATAGCTCACAAGCTGAAAAATGACTCCTTAATTGACATAGAATTTAACGCAAAAACTCTCATCACCGATGGACAAATCATGCATGTGGACATAGCGAAGGGAGTGTACATGCAACTTTATATGAACTCAGGCTTATTAAAATTCAAGTTTTCCTGTGGATACCAAACGATGCTTCTAAGTGAACTGAAAACTTTCGTTAATAAAGGATATCCAATGAAAATTGAAACCAGGTAAAAATTCTAACTCGCTGCAGATAATTAACAAGATACTTTCTCCACGTCACTTTTATTCGATTAAAGATGACAAAACTATAACAACAACTTTAGAGTATAGTCTTGCAGTCTCCTGGATTCTTCTAAAGTTACCGCGTTAATATACGACGGGTTTCCTGATTAACTATAACAACGAGTTTGCACTTTTAATGAAAATAAAACTGAATTTAAACTAATAAATAATATATATGTCCATAGACCCCTCGAAAGTTAGCTTTTGCCAGATGATTTTGGACGGTTAATTAAAAAATGTTTTTATTGTAGACTGGACTTGTACATAAACGAGCAGCACTGTAACGCTACCCTTCGATTGAACGATACAGGGGCAATGAGCGGTGGTCAGGTCGCGAACATCACTTCTCTTGATCACAACTCTAGGCTGTACTTGGGTAATTTACAAGACTTCAAGGATCCAGAGAATAAACCGTTCATTGGGTGCATAAGTGACCTGATTGTAAGTTTTACACTTAATGTAGATTATACTAGTATATAGATACAAATATACGTAGGTCAGAATAAGATTCAAGACCGCCATCAGTTATCATTGAATGCTATCGGCAAAGTGAGATATAAAAAGTATAAGGTAAGTCAGAATCAACTCCATACGGCAGCCCTTAAAGTACGAAGAACATCAGTATTTGCAGAAAGTACTCAACAATATTATTTTAGTAGATCCTAGATACCCGTGCATCACAAAATGTTGTAATACCTGTGCCAGCTCCGGCACCACTTGCGTCACTAGTTGTTGTGAAACGAGTACGTCCTTGTTTCTCAATTTTCTAATTTATAATCAAAATTTTCGATAATTGGTCAAGAAATACCAATTTAGTTTAATATAAACTAAATTTACCTGTTGATGTTTTAAATGATAAATAAACTTTTAAAATCCAACATAAATCGAATGCGTAATTAAAACGCAGCTATCTGCAGCAGGTAAGCCTTTTAAAGATATAGCTTTATATAGATATATATAAATATATATACAACTTTAGTGTGCAGTCTTTAAGTCTCCTAGAGTGTTCTAAAGAGTTTGCACTTTTAATGAAAATAAAACTGAATTTAAACAAATGAATTATATATCTATAAATATACGAGTATATGCAGGCTAATCTAAATATATACCTATATAAAAATATCTTTTGTCCGTGTGAGGGAACTTAGATTTTTAATGAATGATGTTTTATAGTTCCTTTTTCTTATCATGCGTTAAATTCTTGAGACTTTCGGCCTATTAGCATCTTATCGTGCCTGACAAAGCTATTGGAAATAGTGGTTGGATCCCAACTAAGATGTTACAGGAAGCACAAAATATCTTGCCTTATGTTCAGGCGGGTTTTAGAAGACATTATCATATTTTTATAATGTTAGGTGAATGGCGAGAAGCGTGAAGTCTTCGGTGAAGCCGTAGACGCAGGTGAAGTAACAGAGTGCTTGTCGCTGTCCTGTCTTTCCGCACCATGTGTTAATGGAGGATCCTGCAGCGACCATCACAATGGAGGGTATACCTGCTCATGTGCTAATGGGTAAGACTTATTTGAGTAGTATCAATCACATTTTTTTCAGCGGAGTTAAAAAAGATACCGCGTTATATTTTCTTGCAGTTGGGTCGGGAGTCACTGTAACGAATCCGTGTGTGACAATAATCCATGTCAGTCAGGTGGCAGCTGTGTTCGGCACCCAGGAAGTGGCTTCTTGTGCCTCTGCCCTTATGGGAAACATGGGATATTCTGTGAATATAGTAAGTTTTTAATTGATTAACTGCTTACATTTTTTTTTGATTAGATTTCAACACTTGACTCTTACAAACATGTTTTCTCCACAGATGTAGACATCACGCGTCCGTCACTTGCTCCCATCAGCACGGGTATATCATCCTACATAATGTACGCACTATCTGCGGCTGCTATGAATTCTGACCGTTTCGACTTGCGCCTGCGATTTCAAACGACCGACATGGACCAGATAGCACTGCTTATGTTTGTTGGTCAGACTGGACGGCACGACTCGCGCAGTCAGCATATTGCACTGACGTTCGTCAAGGGATACATAATGCTGACGTGGAATATGGGTGGTGGTAAGTACTTGATTAAAGTAAATAGAGCTTGGTTTTTCATGTGTAATTTTAAAACCTAAATTATTTATATATTTTTAGTAGTTTATATTTCTAACTATTCTATTTTATGTAAAAAATACAAATCAAGACTTATAGCTCAAAGTTTAGCTGATAATGTACAGAGATATTTCAGACAGGAGATAATCCGCACTGGTCAGCGCCTCACCGATGCTGGTGAAGGGGAATGTCTATTTTATTTCAATTCTATAGACGTGAGAGAGGCAAAGATCTGTATCACAATATTACATACACATACACACACACACACACATTGATTTTGTCAATAAGTTCAGAATTTATTTTGGACTTCATTTTTTAAAATAATGCCTCATAATTATATTATAGCAGATTACTTGATTTGTTAATTTTGTTTTATTTGATAAGGTCCTCGTAGAGTTTTCACATCGCGGGCTTTGAGCCCACGTCGCGGTGGACATGTGGTACGAATCTGGCGCCGCGGCAGAACCGCAGGGCTCAGTGTTGACGGTCGACACAACGTATCCGGGAATGCACCAGCTCACACCACTAAGATGACACTGCTTCCCTATATTTATATCGGTGAGTCACTTAGAGAAATAAACCTAAAATAAACTTTAGAGATGAGTAAAACTATCTAATCCAACCGCCAAGGAAGGATTATGTTTTTTTTACAAACTTTGTTTTGTTGACAAATATTTAACTTTTTATCACACAGGTGGGCACCCCTCGACAGGCTTCATTGACCTGCCCCACGATCTTCCTCTCCACTCTGGTTGGCGTGGTTGCTTTTGGGAAGTTGGTGGGGGGGCAGTGGGCTCTGGTGCTCGACCGATCGGAGGTCGAGGTATCGGACAGTGCGGTGTGGCACAATGTACTGCCAAGTCTTGTAATGCTCCTCGTGGAGTGTGTATTCACTCGCCAGCAACTTATGGGTAATAAAGCTATTCCCTCAAATATTTTTAATAACTTCCTGGTTTTCTATTTTAATTTAGTCTCCTTTAATTCTGAGATTTTAATATCTGAAAGCAAAATCGAACAGAAAATTGCTCATTGTCGCCAGAGCCGCTACTTTCGGTGAATATTTGAAAAGTCCACAGTACACATCATAGATATACTAGCTAGGCTCTATTATATTCCGTCAGGGTAAAAGGAGTTTCCTCCCTAAGTCACACCTGGTTCACGATAGAGACGATACACGTGCGTCTGAGGGGAAACAGAAACTGATAAGTAGATAAGCTCCCTTCCCTTTATGTGCTTGTTACTAACAGGTGTATATGCAACGAGGGTTGGTTCGGTGCCACCTGCTCCAGTGCACACAACCCCTGCGACAGCGCGCTCTCAAAATGTCGCGGCCAGTGCGTCATCACACCCGACGCTGACACCCAGTGCGACTGTCCTTATGGAAAGACCGGACTTTACTGCGATAGAGGTTACTATATCCCACCATGTTGTTCATAATGAGTGATCTCAATATTAATACGTCAAGAAAATTCCTGAAACAACATTCTAAGCTGGCTCTTCACACAGAAAAATGTGAAAAAGTTGAAACAGTTTTATGAAAACTTTATTAAAAAAAAAAAGTGATAGCGACTACATCCGGCTATATACGAGTATTACGTCGAGTACTATATTGAGGTTGTCGTTTATACCTAAATTAATCTCACGTGTAAACTTAATGGAAATTAAAAACATCAATCATAATCATATTTCAAATGACTTCGGTTTAGAGACATTTATTTCTCATAAAAAGAACAATAAAGTTCACTTACATAATGAGAAAATGTAACAACACAATAAATTAGTTAAGTATCTCTGTGATCTCAATACACAGTAGTATAAAACACATATTACAGTAGTATAAAACTAAAGATAAAACTAAAGATATACAGACAACTTCATTAGAGTCAGTACTTTATCCTAATGTAATCTCCTAATTTTTTTTTAAATTTATACAAGCTATCACTTTTAGTAATATCATCAGGTATTTCATTATAAAGTTTTATACCTTCATATAATATATTTTTCTTACCATAGTTGGTTCTAGGCTTTGTCACTTCTAGTTTTTTTCGTTTCCTAGCGTTGTATGTATAGGTTTTTTCTTTGAAGCTTAATTGTGAATGTGTACCTTGTGTTATGATTTTATGTATTAGTATACAAGTTTTAAGAATGTATAGTTGTCTAATTGTTAGGATTTTGATATCCTTGTAGATGTTAAGTGTTGGTGTTAGGTAGTCGTAGTTATAAAGTGTTTTTATTGCTTTATTTTGCAAGACTTGAATTTCTTGGATATTCGATTTCGAAGCAGTGCCCCATATCTCAATCAGGTATTCTATATGAGGTCTAACTAGAGCGTTATAGATCATTACTCGAGCCTTACTAGGGACGCAAAAGGACATTCGACGTAGTGCACCAATAACAGGAGATATTTTGGATTTAATATATGCAATATGGTGTTTGCATGTTAATTTTGTGTCCAAAAAGAGGCCTAAATATCTTTCACCACTTGATTTTGCAATATTTTCTTTATTTATTGTTAGTTGGATTTGATGGTCAATCTTCTTATTTTTTGCAGCAATGATCATGTATGATGTTTTTTTCGTATTAATAGTTAATAAGTTAGATAGAAACAAGTTGTTTCAAATATTTAAATCATTTTGTGCCTCTTTCACGATATCTATCAGGTTGGGTCCAAAATAAAAGAGACAGGTGTCATCTGCGTAAAGTGTAATGGTGCCTGATGTTTTAACATTGTTTATATTATTAATATAAATTAAAAACAACAGGGGGCCGAGAATCGATCCTTGAGGAATTCCGTATGTTAGTTTAGCAGGCAAACTTACATGGTTTTCAATTTTGACTACTTGTTTCCGGCTTTCTAAGTACGACCTAAGAATTTTATGTGCTGTTCATGATATTCCTGCATCTCGTAACTTGTTTAAAAGCATATTGTGGCTAATTGTATCAAATGCTTTTTTTAGGTCTATAAAGACACCTAGGACATATTGTTTTTTATCTATAGCATTTTTAATTTTTGTTGTTAGATCCATAGTAGCGGATAAAGTACTTGATTTTGGCCTAAATCCATACTGGTTCACAAAAAAGAAATTTGTGTCTGTAAGTTAGTTGTAAAGACGGATGTAAATTATTCTTTCAAAGACTTTGGAGATGACCGGGAGCACGGAAATTGGTCGATAATTACCTGGATCAGATTTGCTTCCAGACTTGTAAACAGGAGTCACTTTGGCAATCTTAAGACTATCAGGGAATATTCCCAGTTCAAGGCACTTATTTATACATTCAGTTAAGTTATCTATTATTAAGTTTTTAATGCATTTTAAATCTTTGACCGTAATCCCATCAATACCACTACTTGTATTTATATCTAAGTTATCGATTATTTTACTGATTTCTTTTTTGTGCAAGCATGTAGTGTATTTAATGTAGCTGTATTTTTTTGTAACTGTGTCACATTTATATTTAACTTGTTTGGAGTGTATAGGTTTGTTTGTGTTTGTAGTATATTATTGGCTAACTTAGAACCAACTGTGGAAAAGTAATCATTAAAATATTGACAGATTTGCTTACCATTTGTTATTACATTATTTTCTGTTGTTAATTTAACTGGAACAAATTTTTTTATGTGTTTGTTATTTGCTAGCGTATTAATTAAATTCCACATTTTTTTCGTGTGTTTCTCGCACTTTTTGAAACTATCCAAGTAGTACTTTCTTTTCGCGTTTCTTATTGTTTTATTAGTCACGTCTCTTAAATGTATGAATTTTTGTTTAGTTTCAGGGCTGCCATTTTCATGTTTATAGGCACTCCATGCTTTATTACGCTTATGTAAGATATCTAGCACATCTTCATTAATCCAGTCATCACGAGGCTTGTTGAGAATTTTTACTTTTTTATTTTATTGCTGGTAATTTTAGTTGTAATAAGAGTTTGCAGGTTTTGATAGTCGTTCTCCTCATTGTTAAATTCTGTTTCTTCAATTGATTTGTATATATTCGTGTAGTCTGTAGCTAGGTATTCATATTTAAACTTTTTTGTAAGTAAAGGTTTCTTTAGTTCCAAGTATATTTGTTTATGATCCGATAGTATAGTATCAATTAAGGTCATATGGAAGGTATATTCTTGGATATTTGATGAAATATGGTCAATCAGGGTTTTCGTAGTTTTCGTTTCACGAGTACAATATTTCGTACTTATATTGTTGAGTATTTGATAACCTAATTCGTTAAGCATGCTTTTATATGTGTTTGTCTGTCTGTCGTCTTTTAATAAGTTGATGTTGAAATCACCGAATACTATAGTTTTGCGTTTTTTCTCTAATTGCAGAGCATAAGTTTCAATAAAATCAGTAAGATTTGTGCTTGGAGGCTTATACACCAATCCAATATGTAGTCCATACTTTTCCAAGTATATCCAAAGATAATCATTTTGGCCTTTATGGCAGAGCTCAGTGATTTCGTATTTAATACTATCTTGTATAAACGCTTACGCTTACGCTTATGCTTATACGACTTATGCTTGAAATTCTATAATTAAGCGATCTTTACTTTTGATTTAACCTTCAAACTTACAAAAAAGTGACTTAGTTAAAACAACACTTAGATAAGAATACACTATACATAATGAGATACAATTCCATTTCAGATTTACTACCAACCGACGTTCTATTCACGGGAATCAGGTCGTATTTGCAGCTCCACCCTAGCTCCATATCAAGCGTCAGCTTGACCTTTGAAGCGGAAATAAAACCTACCAAAGAACGAGGCCTATTGCTATTTGCTGATACTCCACATTTTTATACCGCGCTGTCAATGCAAGGAGGCCTACTGGAATATCGATGGACTGGTTAGTATTCGTATAAAGCTTAAGAATTATTTGTACTTAGTGGATCATTTTCACCATTTTTTATGGTGTTCTGGTATGGTGACCTGTTCTAGGCCTTGGCCTTTATAACTATCAGATTGATTCGGTCAGTTTTTCATCCAGTGAGTGGAGTTACCCGAAGCTCAATTCCCTCACCCTGACTTGAGGGCAGGGGGAGGCAACTTGTGCCTCTTGAGGTGTCTAAAGAGCAGAAGGCGGTAAGTGACTACGGTCACTTGCCGTAGTCACTTACCGCCTTCTGCTCTTTTGCCAATATACCATGAGAAATAAACAAACCTAATTTCACCATCTAATGAACAATACTAAAATCTTGCCGAAAATATTTGAAAGTTAGTAAATTGTTTTTAAGGAAATCGTTGTGTACACACATCTGAATACAGAAAACCCTTTTGTAAAGTCGGTTAAAAATGGCCTTATAATGCAACTTTATTCTTCTTATTGTATGTATATTTCAGACCGTTTATCAGGAGTTACATCATTGGTACGTAGCGGTGTGGTAATATCGATGTCGCAGTGGCACAACGTGAAGGCAGGCCGCTACGGCAGCCGGTTGTATGTGTGGGTGGACGGTACGCTCAACACCGAGGCAATGTTGGCACACGCTTATCCTCACACGGCTAGCAACGCTACCATACTACTTGGTAAGTTTTGATGTCGCCGTGACAGCGTGAAGGGCGGCCCCTAAGGCAGTCTGCGGTACGGTGCAACATTTTTTTTTATGTTAAAGGGGGCAGACGAGCAAACCTGATGGAAAGTGACCATCGCCATCGCCAACTCAGGAGTCACAAAAGCTTTGCCGGCCTTTTCTTTTAGGAAGGAGTACGCTCTTTTCTTGAAGGTTTGAAGGTCGTATCCCGTTCCGCAGATTGGTTGTGCGGGGCACAAACGGTCTCGAAAAGCGCAACTAGTGGAGCGCCAACTATTGATGCCAGGTGATAAGGATGAAAATTTTGCCGTGTGGAACGAAATGGTGATGGCGGAAAGTTGCAGCTGTCCCAACAATTCTTCGGAGCACTCTCCACTCACTTATATATGCGAGAATGCAGAGTGAAGCCACATCTCTACGTAATGCCAAGGGATCGAGCCGATCGCAGATGTTTGGGCTGTCGACGATTCGAGTCGCTCTTCATTGGATGCGTTCCAGAGGGAGAAGCTGGTACTGAGGTGCCCCTGCATACAGATGATGATGATATTCCATATGCCGCCGGACTTGCGCCTTATAGAGCTGAAGGCGGTGGGCCGGAATGAAATACTGCCTCGATCTGTTCAGCACACCGAGCTTCTTCGAGGCCAATTTGACCTTACCCTCTAAGGGACCCCGAAACTGGACTTGTTTCGATGTCAAGTAGCCCTTTAGGCAGCCTGCTGTACGGGTAGGTAGACGGCGTGCTCTACACCGAGGCGATGTAGCACAAGCCTCCCCATATACCGCTGGCATCGTCACCAGGTTACTCGGTAAATTTCGAAGTCGCAGTGGCACGACGGCGTAAAGGGCAGCCGCTACGACAGGGGGATGTACGACTTGGCTCTTTAAAATATTTATTTATTTACATTTTATGCACAAATGTGACAAAAGCGGACTTAATGCCGTAGGCATTTTTTCCTAGCCAACCTTAGGGCGAACAGCAGAACAAAAACATGGCAGATGCACAAAAGGAATTACAAATGTGATTTTATGAAAATTATAGCATATATAGGATATCATATACTCAGAGTACTTATTAATTACATTAGAATAATTTTTAATTAATAATACATTTACAATAAGTAATAATGATACTAACACACACATATATATATATATTCACATAATAAATTCTAGAAGAGTAAATTCTAGTCAAGAGTCAACCTAGTTCTAATTAATTTTAGAAGAGAGTATTAGCGAAAAAAATTAAGATTGATCTGATAAGGAGTTTAATAAATGTTGCCGAAACAGGTAAAGGTTTGCTGGGTTTTTAGTTGAGTAGAGGTTTAATATGTTTTTTTTTTAATACTGTATTAACATACGAAACGTTTAAATACCTAACAAAAATTTAAAATATTCTCAGGTGGTGCAAAGGATTTGTCGACGTTACCTTTTGATGCGATGTCAGGTGCTCCGGAGTTCTACATGGGTTGTATTAAAAATCTTCACATCAACAACATAATGTTGCCTCTTGAGCAGAAAAACATACAAGGTTAGAGATATAGCGTTTAAAAAATCTAATGGAGATATGTATTACTTTTACAAATTGAGTAACATAGTCTATGTTCATAGACAGTGTCTAAATCGTTTTTAGAACTAAACGCAAAAACTTGTAAATCCAAAAGAAAAGTTCCTACCTTGCATCAAGATAAGTAATAAGTAATGCATTGATTTAATGTATTGTAAATTCTTACGAATATCGTACTCCACCTAAAGGGTACTTATTACCCCATGTTTGCATATTTATATTAGTGCAAATACATTCCTAGAACGGTTTTTCAATTACGGTTAAATCGATTTACACTTATATCGATTTAATAAGAGATATTTATATAATATTTACGACATATTACGAACAGAGGGTCGCAACGTCGGCGACTGCGACGGAACGGCTTGCGGTTCGGAGGCTTGCGGCGGCGGAGCTTGTGTGGTCGAGAGGGGACGCGCGCGCTGCGCGTGCGCCGGCGGCGGCACGGGCGAGGGCGCGCGCTGCCGCCGCCACGACGCGGCCTGCGCGCCGCACTCCTGCGCGCCGCCGGGGGGCCGCTGTCGGCGACAGCAGTGCGTGTGCGCAGCTGGATATGCGGGCTACGACTGCCAATACAGTATTAAATTTGCATTAAACCTTTTAAATAATTAAAATACTGATATTCTTAAAAGAGCGAGTGAGAGTGTGGAGTATTTAAAGCTTTTAAAAAAGCCGGCTAGATTATTTTAACCTCGCCTAAACTAAAACTCTCAATGAACCCTCTCTTGGTACCGTGCCGAGACATATATTATTATTGGTGCTATTTCTTTATTCAAAACGTGTGAAGATCGTCTCCGGTGTTGAAATAAATTATTTAGATAGGTAGATTGATAACATTTATTTATTTATTGTATAAACTTAAAACATAACAAAAGATGAATTACAAATAAGTATGTAGACGTAACAAACGGTGGTCTCTTACAGACAACCTTAAACGGATATTGCGTATTTAAAGTTTAGGGTAAAAAATATTTTTCTTTTATTTTATTATATCAGATCGGCCGGATTTAATGAGAACCATGCTTTAACTTTTTGACATTTTTGCCTTCAGAAATTAACGTAACAATTCCTCAATTCGATGGAACTTCTCTGGTATCGCTGACCCGCTCGCCTACGAGCCTCACAAATCAGCAGAAATTGGCACCGACTTTCCTAAGGCCCGACCACATCGCGCTCAACTTCACCACCGCTGAACTTAATGGCCTGTTACTATGGATTGCTATGGTAAACGTTACTTTAAAATGTAATTATGGCGATTTGATGTCCCTATTCTAAGGGCCTCTCGATCACGGAGCGGACATTCATCACTCACGATAGCTTCCTCCCCCTACTCATTTTTCTGGCTCCACTTTACCTTCTTTATTTTATCTGAAAACGATCAACGTCAGGCCGGTGGCCGGCCATTAGAGAAACCAGCCTAAATTCCCTAAATGAATTTGATAAAATGGCAAGAATATGGTGATGAGAAATATGAAAGTAGATGTTGTTGATGTAGAGGATGTTGGTTTTAACAGTTCCTAATGGAGCAGTCCGGTAACACACTCAATCGGTGAAAAGATAGGAAATACATCCTAATACCGATTTTCTATGAAACCGTGGTTTCACTGCGGTCGAGCCTGCCCATCTGTGTCGAAGCATAAAAGGTCCAAATTTTTTTGTGATGGTCGTCCGTTAGTTATAAACATTAACATAGATTTGATATCTAATTGATAATCACTGTTCACGAACACTGATGATACCTAACAACAATATTTTTATATTAACTGCATTTTCTGATTACACATCATTTTCTTTTTTCAGGATACAGATCACATAGGCTTGGGATTAGAAAACGGATACCTCAGGATAGTTTGGTTATTACAGAATCACGTTCCCATGGTCGTTCATCATTATTCCAAGGACGTAAGCCTCGCTGAACCGTCGAGAATGTTCTCCAAATTACTGCCATATGCGGGGTTTTTCTCTGATGCCGAATGGCACACGGTTATCTTAAAAATGGCAATGTCAAATTTGACTCTCACTGTCGATAGAGTTTTGGTTTACACTACGGAATTGGGATTGAAGTATGAAAATGACGACCATGGTGTGGATGTATACATAGGTATGTTTATTTTTGTTATTTAATATCGGCTTTTCATGAAAATTCATGTTTGTAAAATACGAAGCTGCCATGAAGATCAAAACAATTAGTAACATTTTATGTTTACTTTTATAACCCTTTACAGGTGGAATCACTGAAGAAAAAAGCGAACTAGTCCAGAAAGTATTTCCTCATAATTTCAAAGGTTGTATTGACCACATATCTACGAAAGAAAAATCCTACATAACGAATTACACAGAAATTTACAGTGAAAATGTTAAGTCTTGCCAACTGTTCCCACCGATGTAAGCACTAGTTAAATGTAGTTAAGTTAATAAGCTAAATAGGTAAGTGTGATGATACTCATAGTACAAAACGCTCTAGTCTTCTAATAGGCCATGCTCCGGGTTCATTTTATAGCAGTGTTTGCTATTAATCAGTATGTGTAATATTTGTGTACACCATTGTCAGTCGCTAAACTCTGTCCAATTTGTTCTTTTCCACAAATGCTTGAGAACGTACCTGTGGCAGAATTCGTAAAATGAAACTTAAACATTTCAATGTATGTATATTACATATGTTTTTCCTTTTAAAACTTAATTTTTATTATACACAAGAAACAGAGTTACAGCTCGTTCCCACTAATCGGCTGTCGGTGCCTCTGTTCGCACTAGTTATCGGCCACGTGTCTTGTTGTGATGTATTTGAGAAGAAAACGAATATAGACCACTAAGGAAAGAAAATATTGAGTGGACTCAAGGAAAGATTAAGTTTGGTAACATTTCAGAACTTAACAACTTAAGATTTAGAAACTGCATTTGTCATTGACATCCGTGAACAGCATCATACTTAACCATGTGCGAGCGAGATCCGACACGATTTTTTTCCGGGCGTAGAGGGCTGGCAAAAGACTCGACATTACTTCTCGGCACCGATACTAAATCGGTGTCGGACAAGTGTGAATAGTTTCACATAAAATGTCCTGCCACTCTAGTGGTCCTCTTGGTCACTCTTGTCGGAACCCGACAACGTACGTTCTATTGTGTGTAAGGATGTAAACAAACGTTTCTTCTGCTTATTTTAAAAATGATAATCACTATTTCTAAATCAGTGTTTAAAGCCTTTTATACATAGTTATATTAAATTATATTTGCAATAAATAACTTCAAAATAATTGAAACTACAATTTTTACTTACTGCACTAAATTCATCTATACACTTTCTACATTGTACGCAGCAATAAACATGGGTTTTAATTCAGTTTTAATTCACGTTTACTCGGCCTTTTGCTTTAATTTTTTACAATTTTAGCATTTCATTAAAATTATATTTTAGAAGATATCAGAGATTTTAAATATAGGGGCAGAGCAGCCGTCAGGCCGTACGTCCGTCTTGAGCAAGCGGCCGGCGGGCGTAGCTTTTTGTAAATAAACTTTTTCCACATTTAAGTAACATATGTTTTACAATGTCCTCATTCGCCAAACTTCTAGCAGTTTCCAGGCATTCCGCTAAGTTTATTACAACATTAGTACTTAAATTCTACGCTTGCTATGCTGCACCATTAGTAATTAAATTACTATTACACAGTACACTAACTGAAATAATAAAATATAATATATATAAATATATAAGAAATAATAAATAAGTACGTTTAACACTTCTATTTTTGGGTACCTACTTCCTTATTAGTGTACACGTTTTAATCTATTACCATAACCAAACAGTTGTTCTAGTCTTAGTTTTAATTTAATTAATTGCTAGAGTACCTACCTAGTAATCTATAAAGAAAACATCTGTATATGAAGAAACCTGTATAATAATAATGTGTACAAAAACAGACTTAATGTTTCAAGCATTCTTTTCCAGTCTACCTAAGGGTGATGTAGAAATGAGTGAGAGTAGATGCATTAAAGAGTGTAGGCTAGTATTATGCGAAGAATAGAATACAGCAAATAATGAATTTATGCATACATGAATATAAAGGCTGTCTTAGTAAGAGTGCACTTTTTAAATATAGAATCTTGTTTTTGGTGCCAATGGCAACTCTAAAATTTTACAGCTGTCACCTATGTTTATTCCGATTATTAAAAATGGAGTGCTTTTCGAAAGAACAACGCGTTATAATTGTGAAAACTCATTACAAAAATGAGGAAAGTTACGCTGAAACCGCTCGCAAACTTCGCCAAATTTTCAGTCGAGAAAGTGCACCTAATGTGACAACCATTCCAAGAGTGGTCAAAAAATTTGAAGAAACTGGGTCGATTATAAATATTAAGAATCCTTTGCGTCAGCGTTACCGGCCGGTGTCGTGAAAACATTGCTGCTGTGAACGAGTGTCGCCGAAAACCCGAAAACGGCATCGTTCTCATGCGTACAAGACTCAGCTAACTCAGGAGCTCAAAGCAGCAGACCATGGAAAGCGCCGGCAATTCGTTCAATAGGTAATGGCTCAAAGTGAAGTCGATGCAATTTTTTCGACAAAAGTCATCTTCTCCGATTAAGCGCATTTCCATGAGAATGGCTACGTGAATACACACAATTTTCGAATTTGGGGCTCAGAAACCCTCATGCAATCCATGAGAAACAAACGCACCCACAACGAGCAACTGTCTGGTGCGGATATTGGTAAGGCGGCGTGATTGGGCCTTACTTTTTGAAGATGAGGCCGATATTGCAGGTGACTGTGAACGGCATTCGTTACAGGAATATGATAACGGAGTTCTTGTGGCCTCAACTGGACGGCATGGATCTGGACAACATGTGGTTTCAGCAGGACGGCGCCACCTGCCACATCGCTCATATAACAAACGACTTATTACAACAACGATTTCCAGAACACATTATCTCACGAAATTCTGATGGCAACTGGCCACCAAAATCGTGCGATTTAAAGCCGTGCGATTTTTTTCTTTAGGGTTTCGTGCAATCTCGGGTTTATGCGAATAAACCAGAAACAATTCTTGAGCTCAAATTAGAGATCCAACGCGTTGGTGAGAGACAGCCACATTTCTGTGTAAAAGTCATGGAAAATTTCATGAAAAGATTAATGGCCTGTCATCACAGCCGTGGGGGCGGATATTTTGTTCCATACTGAATTGGAACATGTAGTCTTTACAATCCAATAAAAATATTACAACTCTTTCATAAAATAAGTGGTTTTATTTTTAAATAAAAAAGTGCACTCTTACTGAGACAACCTTTATATTTTCATATAAATATATATTTTATAAACACAATTATATATCACTATTTCTACGATGACTCAGAAGAGGAGGAGGGTACGAACCTTAGCTATAAATGAATGCCGACTAGGTGCCATCCTGATTTCTTGTGGTAGGGCGATCCAGTGGAGGACAGACTGAACAGTGAAAGATGAATGGACACAATCGGAACAATGACTGGTACATTATTTTTTTATGGTATAAGGAGGCAAACGAGCAGACGGGTACACTAATGGTAAGCAACTACCGCCGCCCATGGATACCTGCAACTCATAAGTCACAAGTGCGTTGCTGCCCTTGGAGTCCCTGCCGCTCGAGTCAGCGGGAGGGGAGATTTGAACTCCGGTAACCTTACTCACTCAGTGAAAGGCAACGAAAGAATTGCTTAACACCGGTTTTCTGTGAGGCCGTGGTATCACTCCGGTTAAGCCGGCCAATTAGAAGATTACTAATAATAGACATAATAGAAGGATATTTGAAGATCAGATATATCTATTATGATTAGAGCAAAGATATTCAAAGATGGAAATATAGAATGTAGGGGAAGTGGATTAATTTAGTATTGAATATAGACGGGCGACAGCTCGAATCGGGAACCAATTTAGATCAGGGTTAAAATATTTTTTAAGAAGACCTTTTGTTGCTTTTAGGTGTGCGGTATTGGGCTATGTCCCGGTCTGAATCCGGATTGAAAAGGGCTAGATAGATTGTTTCGAAATACGAACTGTGATAGCTATTGGTGGACACAAGCCTCAAGAGTTTTGGTGAGGAAGGGAAGAATGGAGATTGGTCGTAAGTGATTCCAAAGAGTAGGATTAGCGAAGGGATTCGCAAACGCGTCGCGCCACAGGGAAGGGAAGATACCAGAGTGAAGTGAAAAATTTACTATGTGTAGGTACTATGGAAGATAATCGAGAATAGGAGCGATCATACGACGATTGATGTCATCCAGTGTAGGATCAAGTCTAACCATGTCTTAGGTCCATTGACATTATGGTGAAATGCCGACAATGGTAAACAGTAGACATGGAGGCTAACAGAGTTGATAACCTGAAGAAATTTGCGGAAACGGAGGGAATCCTGAGCAAGGAGTTAATATGGTGTACATGCTCGGACCCTAAATATTACTGAAAAAACCAACAGAAGCAATTTGGTGTCGTTCATGGTGATTTCAACAAAAAGCTATGCCGTAGAAGCATCGGAAGAAGTGGAAGTTGTAAGGATTCTTAAAGGATTTGAACCAATTGTCAGAAATCAGGATGGCATGTACATCGATGTATGTGAAAGCTTCAAGTAAATCAAAATAGTGGCTGAATATACTATGCGCGTTAACGTGTCAGACATTCAACGTGCAACCAGGTTGTCTGTTGAACGTCCTCCCCACCGTGTCGCCATTTGATGATATCCTCCACCTGTTGCGGGTAAGGTTAGCTTGAAGGACTAGATACTACTAAGCCTTGCAATCAAGAGCCACACAATCATTCCAGCTCTAACATTTCAATACCACTTTTGTAGAACGATTTATCTTTTGCTTCAAAATAGGCCTCAGTTTCAGCGATAACCTTTTCATTCGATCGAAATTTCTTACCGGTGAGCATTTTTTGAGGTATGCGAACAGCCAGTAGTTGCCAGGAGCCAAATCTGGCAAATACGGTGGATATGGAAGCAATTCGAAGCTTAATTCATGTAGTTTTGCCCTTGTTTTGATTGACTTGTGACACGGTGCGTTGTCTTGATGAAACAATATATTTTTTTTTTTCTTTGCAATTTCGGCCTTCACTATTTCCCTTCTCAAGATAGTTGGCTGGCCTGGCCCACAACATAAATAGAAAAGGAACAAACTAAACTATAATCTGTTGATTACGTACATGAAAATAACCACCTAGAGCACCCGACCGAATGGCACCTGTGCGAATGGCATCAATGGGCAAGTGGCCCATGAAGAGCACCTACGACTCGGCAGCGTAGTGCTGGAATATTTGGTTTACAGGAGAGTATTCAATGAAAAATATCGATAAAAATCATTTGGAAGTTTATTATAAACTAACGTACATAAGAATAAGAAATCTGTCTAGATGACATTAAAAA